TTCCACTCTAACTGTGATCTGTCCATAAAAGAATGTGGCTTGTTTCTTTTTAGTAGCAGCAGAATAAGGGAGTCTGTTCCGCTCACGCTGTTTGGAGGGAACCTGCAGAAGGTCCACCGTCCTCGAAGCCCGTCCACAACATTCATGACAAACAGAACGAGAAGAAGTGGTCACCGGAAGAACATTATTCAGGTGCTCCCTGAGGCTGTGAGCAAACTGAGAGCTGAGAGCAAAAACGGAAGAGTACGTGGACTCCCCGTCGTTTCTGGAGTGCGCCGTGGAACTGTGGGTCGATCTGTTAGTGGGGTAACTCTCACCTCCACTAGTAGATCTCTCAGCTCCTACTCTCTCCACAACACTTCCCAACCTGGCCTGGATCTTCCATCTCAAACTCTGGAAGGCACCTCGGAAGCGCTTGCTGAGGAGCGCATACAGCAACGGGTTGATATCTGAATTAAACAGCACCATGAAATAGGAGAAAGTGACAGCAGATGGGGGAACTACGCTCCTGGGCCGGGACAGTGCGGTTTCGGTTGCCTGCACCAGAGCGACGCCTATGTAAGGCATCCAGCACAAGAAAAAAGCGGCGATGACCAGAAATAACCTCCGAACTCCATGATGCTGATGTTGAGGGCTACTGCTATGGATTTGAGCCACAAAAGAGTGCAGACGTCCACCAGTTGGCTCGGAAAACATCTCAGATGGTGCATCTGGAGCAACTTCATAAGGAACATCCAACTGATCCGTCACAAACCTCCCACTCACATAGTAAATCAGCCTGGATGGTGTGTAGGTGTCCATGAATGAGTGTTGGAGATTCAAGACAGATGTGGCTCTGTTACGCTGAAGATGTTCTTCCAAACTGTGGATCATCCTAGCGTGGTATCGTGCCACACGGACAATTTTCACATAGCAGAACAGGATGACCATAGCCGGTAGAAGAAAAGATAAGGAGACCATCATGACCGTGTAGCTTGGACTGTTGGGCCAGTTCACGGCACAGTTGTACATGGGAGCAACGAAACTGATGTTGCTCCAGCCGAGGAGAGGAGGACAGCTGGTCAACATAGCTTGCAGCCAAATCCATATCACCACGGAACCGGTTCTCCATATCGTGCAGCGGGAACCGTACAGCAGGCAGTCCACGATGGAGAAGTAACGGTCCAGGGCAATAGCGGCGAGTGTTAAAACTGACGCGGTGCAGTAGACTGAGGATGTGTAGCCAACATACAGACATAGATCCTGGAAGATCAAGAGAGAGTTCAAAATGAACAGAAGCATCTGTTAATGCACTCAAAATTAGGGATGCTCGATATATATATATATATATATATATATATATATATGCCGATACCGATATGGCGGATATGTTCATTTTTAATGTTATCGGCCTGATAAGAAAATGCGAACGATATATTAAAGCCGATAAAAAAGGGATTATTTCCTTTAGTTGAGACACTTTAGATGTGGACTGTTCACCATGATGGTTTTGAATTGCTTGAGATATAATTAAAATCACTTCAAAAAAAGGAAAATACAGTAAAGTGCAGCATGTCTAGCACAAGTTTGTCATATAGGCTACATAAAATTAAAATGAGAACATTATATTTGTGTGCTTGGGATATAACTTTTAATGGTGAGACTTGTGTTTTTTTGTGATCAGGCTCTGAAAAACTATATAAAAAATTGGATTTAGATTTATCGGTCAAAATATCGGTTATCGGCTTTCAAATAAAGAAATATCGGTATTCGGCAAATTTTTCATATCAGTGCATCCTTACTCAAAATGTCATTTTGTAACTTTAAACAAATTAAAGGTGATGTATGTAATTTTATCAATGTTAAAATAAACACTGGGTTTATGCAAAACATTGCTAGGTTTGTTTCAGAATGTCAATCATCCTTGTAGAGTTGTCCAAAAGTCTTCGGACTTTGGAACCAAGCCTTTCAAACGCTCCCATGTGTATCTGTGCAAGTGCTTGATGAAAAGCGTCAATTTAAGTACTGACTTCGTACCATTATAGGTGCGGTTATCGGGGTGAAAAGGCATTAACTCTAAGACAATAGTGAAGTCCACACCACAACTATAACGATAGAGGAAGGCATTTAAAACTGCATTAAAACTCAGAGCATTTAAAACTGAGTTTTTTTGAACTTATTCTTTCATAATGTTGCAGGTTTAAGGCCTGATCATAAAAAAAATTAATTCAACCAATGACTTGAGTTTGGGGGCAGGACTAATGGCTTGGTCAGCGAATGGCAGTTGGGGAAACTCATTTGAAAACAGTCATTACTTTTGCAATTCCGTTTGGTCTCACTAGTGGTTCAGACATCTCACACACTTCACCTTTAAAGGTGCTATATGTAACTGTTCTTGCTATTATCTCTGAAGGCCAGTATTCCTATTTCTATGTGAAGTCTCTGGGTCGGATTTTCTGCGAAATCCATCGGAGCTTCCCGAGCCTCTCCTTTTATGTACAGTCTATGAGGTGGCACTGCAGCTAACGACATGGAGTCTGATAACACCCAAAAAAGACCTGCCTCTAGCACAACACAGACTCCAACCAGACTCCAAAACAAACTCCACAAAAATATAAAAAACAAAACAAAAATGTCTCTGCTGAAGCTCATCAGGCCAAACGTGGATTGGATCGGACGAAAACACGGATCAACATCAACAGAGCGCTTGAATTATGGAGAGACCTCTGCTATTTTTATTGTGAAATTTTTAGATATGCTGAAATAAATAATGGTAAACTGTAATGAAATAGCAATGTAAACTACAACATACATGAGACATGAAATGAATATAAAAGACTGTTCGAGCATGGAGCATTAGTTCAACGTCAAGCTGATAAAAGTAGCCTATTATTGTAGCGTTGCAGTGGGAGTTTACATGAGTTTCCAGCATGTTGTGTGATGCTTTCTTTGGTGTGTTTAAAAGTCTCAGTGTCGCCGTGTACCATTAGTTTACCAATTTTTACCACTCTTGTAAAAATTGTTTGCAATCTGAAACATCACCAATAGAGGCCTCTAAAAAATACATATAGCACCTTTAAGTTATAAATGTTGGATGTAAAGCAATGTACTAACATTGTAGTTGACCCATCCATTGTTCATAATGGAAACAGCCACAAACGGCATGACGCCTATTCCCACTAAGAAATCGCTAATGGCCAGATTAATGATCAGGATGGAGGTCACAGTGTGGAAGGTTTTTGTGGCTGCCACAATCACAATGACCAGAACGTTTCCTGACAAGGAGGAAAAAAAAACATTTTATATTAATTATGTACAAATTTTATTATAAAATAATAAAGAAATCATGTCAATCATGCCAAATTTTCATTTAATATTGTTATATGTTGTGCCAATGTGGTGTGACGTCACAAAGGCACAGATATCGGCAATGATTTTGCAGTTTAGTTTTAATAGTTTATTTGGAACAAGTGGTGTTTTCAGTTCGAAAACTTACAGTAAGTTTTGGATAATGTATTTTAATTATATTTTTCTTGACACACATATATATATATATATATATATATATATATATATATAGGTAACATTTTACATTAAGGTTTCATTAGTTAATATTAATTAGCAACATTAGTAAACATCAACTTGTAATGTCTACAGCATTTTAATCTTTGTTAATGTTAATTTCAACATTTACTAGTACATTATTAAAAATCAAAAGATGTATTTGTTAACATTAGTTCATGCACTGTGAACTATCATGAACAAACAATGAACAGCTGGATTTTTATTAACTAATCTTAATAAAGATGAACAAATACAGTAACAAATGTATTGATTATTGTTAGTTCATGTTAGTTAATACATTAACGAATGTTAACAAATGAAACCTTATTGTAAAGTGTTTCCAAAACGTGATTAAGAAAATATGTTTTTTAGTCCATCTTTTAAAATTGTGATATTATCATAATAATATCTGACAGGATGTGCCAAAAGCACATAATGCCACAAAACACTACACACTTCATCAAATTGATTGCTAATTCTTAATAATTTTGGTCATTTTCCACCAAAATAGTCATATATCCTGCCGGATGATGTCATTAGGGCTATGGATTTTTGTTAGCATTGTTTTCGATACCAGTCAAAACAATATTCACAAGAAAATGTCTTTACATGTTACAGCTAATACAACTTGACACAAATCATTTGATCTTAAACCATAATAATTCATCCGAAATATATAGTTAGACATCAAATGCAAAACTTTCTCAGGTCCACACAATATCTCTGACATTCACACACATTAATGAAGCGTAGTGTAAAGCTCACCCGTCACTGCGGCCAGACTCATCAGCACCATCACAGTCTCCAGCACCAGACGCGCTCGAGGCGACAGGATGGTTGAGTTCCTCAGTGCAGTTCGCATCTGAAACTCAGACTCATCTGCATCAAACCACTCACCAGCCGAGGACTCCATTTAAAAACACTCGGTCGGATTAAGTCTGATATCCCGAGCTCAGGTGTGTCACAAGCAACCTAGCCATTTAGCTTTAAAAAAAAATCATCAATCTTCCATAAGAATACAAAAAGCTAATTTACGAAAATTTTACAGTATTTGATCAAAACAATAACCTGCCAAAATTTAAAGCAGACAGTTCGCTTCTTACTCCTCTATGGCTCTTCATTTGCCCTGTGAGCACCTGACAGTGCAGTTTACTATCTCCAGGGTCCCTTCATCAGTTTATCCACAGCGATGACAACATGGAAAAATCAAACGCTTGACTTGTGAATTACACAGCTAGAGAAAAAAACAGACCGCTTGAATATGTGGCTCATTTAAACCGTCTATATTTACACAGATGCTTTGTTTCTCAAGGGATTACAACGGCTATGGATGTGATTAATTGAGACCTTTTGCATTGCATTTATCCATGCTACATGTGTGGGAACAAATATGATGTGTGTAAATGTGAAAATATCAACTTAGTCACTGAGAGAGAGAGAGAAAAAACTGTTTATTTAACTGTTTATTTAATCTAAATTCAAAGGTATATTAAAATACTTCTCTTAAAATGTTAGGTAAAACACAAAGTCATCAAACGACACTTGTCAATAATACAGAGTGAAAAATAAAAGAACTCAAAGGGAAGGAAAAGGAACGACAGATGGTATATGGATAGATGCCATATTTAAGCAGTTTTCTATATTTGTCATATTTGGGGAGTCTTGTCATGCAACTTTTCCTTAGAAAAATGGTGTTAAATGCAACGACTCCCAAATACTGACAGATGTTTTCTGCTAAAACACAGAAGACTTGCTCAGACTGCAGGGTTTTGTCCTAAATGCTGGCGTGTATATTCCCACACCAGCAGGGCGGCGCTCACGTGGACATTGAGGGAGCGGGTGACACCGTGCTGAGGAATCTCCACACACACGTCCACCAGCTGCAGCAGGTTTGCAGGAATGCCTTCCCTTTCATTACTGTTCGGAGACAAACAGACACTTTAGAGTCATGCACCAAGCAGATTTAAAAAAATCATATCCGATGGAATGCTAAGGTCCCTAATGTAATGTTCAAGTCAAGCTAATGAGTTTATAAAGCCATTTAAAATGGTAATTTTATGCCAATGAGCAGACCCACACGGAATCAGCACCCGCAAAACTCAACGGGCAGCTCAGATTATATCCATCCATCATTCACAGTTCTACATATCCCTCTCTACGTATTCTACATATTGTTCGTTTTAGTCGCATTTTCCCCTATTAAATCCAGTCACGCAGCAGATCTTTTGCCACTCAGTCAGGCTGAGGGGGGTTGTTCCGGCGGGAAAGTGACGTCAATGCATTCCCTCAATAACTAGCATGTTTATTTTGATTAATTTGACGAAACAAACTTTGTTTTCTCAGCAGTCTCCATTTAAAATATTTACCCTGTTTAATATCTCAAAGAAATGACTTGACAGGAGCATTTTTGGTTCCTGTGTTTCCATTTTGGAAGAAGCACATGAAAAAAAAAAATGGACAAAAACTGTGTATATGCCTCTTTGGGCAAGATCAGTATCTGTATTTAGATTAGTTTTTGCTACATCTTACTTTAAGAGAAAGGCTCTAAATGTATATATCTAGTGTATATCTACTGAAAGTTTGTCAACTTTAGCATATAGATATAACCTTAATTAATCTAAATAAATCTAAATGTCTTTAAATAGATTCTGTAAATATAGAAGTAGGCCTACACTAGCTCATATAGATGACCTTAATAGATGCTTAATCAAATCAAATAATATTTACATGGTCTTTAAATGCATTCTGTAAAATGTGAAAAACAAATTTAAGAAGTGTACAGGTGCTGATTGAACTTATAAACCAAGCTTTTAAATAATAAGTCTACTCAACTGCTCTGCATTAGTGAGATAATCAGACATAATAACAGTGATGTGCAGGAAACATCAGATGGCTTTACTGCCTCAAAGATAAGTGATGCAGCAAGACAAATCATGAAAACCTTGTTGATTCTTTCAAACACACACCCTATTTGTGATTAAGCTGCTAAATCACTGATCTCAGACTGAATTATGGTTGATGCTTGTTAAACTGTGCATAATAACCAAAATAAATAAATAAAGCTGTAAGATTACTGTTCTATGACAATAATGGTTGATGATTAAAATAAAATAAAAGACTGGGTGATGGCCGATGCATGTTGTATGTGTAAATGGCACATTAATGTTGGGTGGTTTTGCTGATGAGCACTCGGGCATGTCAGAACATGCCCTCTCTCTCTCCCTCTCTCTCTCTCTCTCTCTCTCTTAGCATTCAGAGGTGAGGAAATCTCACAGGGAGAGACACATCAATTAGCCTCATAATGTTAACTGCACCGTCAGCGCACACTGAAACGTTTCATTTTCACCTGGCTTCACAAAGACAATCGTGCTCTTCATAACAAGTAATTGAAAGAGATCACTTGTCCAAATGGCCTCAAAATGTTTTTTAACAAGCATGACAATCCAAAAAAAAAAATACATTTTAAAGGTGCACTGTAACTTTTGAACATCTAGCAGAACACCTTTGCATTACATAAAATATCAAAAACTTAAAATATGGTTGTCAAATATTCCTGTAGTTAATCAGCTAGGGCATTTGCTAATATGATTTTAAATTCAAAAGTGTGGCTGAGATGTACAAACACTTTTTGGGGCCATTGCATGTACAGTAGACAGAATTTGGGCGGTAAGTTGGAGGTGTTGGTTTACCCGAGTAAAAGGAGGCTTCTCTCAGGAAAAGTGTAATCTTGTAAACTCTGGCTGTTGGATGTTTGCTCTACGCCTATAACCCAATATCCCTCTCTCTTCTTCCGCTGCAGATAATCTGACAACTCTGCAGGCTTCACCTGAAAAATGAAGAGAGATAACTTGAGATTTCTGAACGGCTTCATTAAAGGGATACTCCACCGGGTTTTCATATTAAACTATGTTATTCCCTTAACTAAGACGAGCAATAATACCTTCACTCGTGAAAAGTCCTCTTACCGGCTCCCGCTTTGTCGCATGTCACGTTGGCTGCATTGACGGAAATAAGAGGGAGGGGGAGAGCGAGGAAGCGTGAGCCGGTAAGAGGACTTTTCACGAGTGAAGGTATTATTGCGCCAAGTTGAAGTGCTCTAAAGCACTTTTTTATGGTATTCCGCCATACAATATAGTCATCAATTTTAAACGCTTTAAAACACAACGTTTTATTTTGTGTCACCAGCCTAGGTCGAGTTACACTAATCGAGTAACTGTGTTTAAATAGGGAAAACGAGGAAGTGTTTTGTCACTTTTCTTTTTGGCCCATATTTAAATGCACTGGGCTAAGCTAAGTGCTAACATAGTTTTGCGGCAATACAGAGCGATAGAGTGCACGCACTGAGACGAGAGAGGTATGCATCAGCTCGTCTTAGTTAAGGGAATAACATAGTTTAATATGAAAACCCGGTGGAGTATCCCTTTAATCATGACAGATTCAATCAACAGAATACTCATATTCGACATTTCCCCTCACAAAACTGAGCTCCTGATGGTTTCGTGTAGTACGTATTTGGCTGATGTCATGCGCGTGATTATGAAGAATAACATCTCTAGGATTGTTTCAGCCCACACTTAAGGAAATATGAAAATATAACTACTTATTTAAAGCTTACAGTGTGTAATTTCTGCAGCCCTAGTAACATAAAATGGAAACAATTGTTTTGAAAAAGAAAGAAAAAGGCATTTTTGCATTAGTTTTGAGCAATTGATATATTTGTCAAAAAGGATGAAAAATAAACTGAACAGAATTGATAGCCAATACAAATAAAGAATCTTCATCTGGCCAGAAATAAATACACACCTCAAGCATTGGCAGCCACAACTCAGATGACACACTGAGTGCCTGGAACTGTTTATCATTACTGTGTCGCAAACTGTCCAGAACCAGAGCTTTGGCCCCAAAGATCTCACATGTCCTGCACAGACCTGGAACAGACACACAAACAAACATTTGCGTTTTAGTCCTCTGATAGTCTTAATAGTAACGCGTCTAGATAGACAGATATTTTTATATTTCAAATCAATCTCTTGACTTCTTATTCATCAAAGAATGCTGAAAAGAAGAAAAAAAAAACAGAAATTTCCAGAAATATATTAAGCAGCACAACTGTTTTCAACATCAAATCAGAATATTAGAATGGTTTCTGGAGGATCATGTGACACTGAAGACTTGAATAGTAATGCTGAAAATTCAGCTTTGCATCACGGAAATAAATTAGATTTTAAATATATAGATTTTACAGTATTTTTGATCAAATAAATTCAGCCTTGGTGAGCATAAGAGATTGCTTTCAAAAACATTTCACATAGATTGTATGATACAGACATTCATATTCAACTGTGGTTTCAGTCCTGTTGATCAGTCTTGTTGTGTGCAGCAGAACAGATCAATATTTAATGAAAACAATATGCCTATCAAACTAACAATAGTTGGCTTGTGCAGAATGTTTGAATGTGATGAATGAGCCTTTTATAATGAGCTTGTGTTAAAACAGATTTGTTGGTTGATTCAGAAGGGAAGATGTGAGTGTCTCTGGTAACAGATGCCTCTGTTAAAGTTGAAATGATGACATTCAGAAAAAAAACTAAGATCAAACAGAATGAAAACCGTGTGAGACACGGTGGCACGGTTTGCCATCTTAGAATTGATTTCCAGGGCCATTTTCACCTATCGACGATTTTTCTAAAAATAAGGCAGTTTATTTATATATATATATATATATATATATATATATATATATAAAAAAATATCTATATATATATATATATATATTACAAAAAAAAAAATATATATATATATATACATGTTACAAAAATAATATATATATATTTTTTTTTTTTTGTACAGACAGAAATAGATAGTGCATAGTCCAATCCATGACTACATGACACTGTTTAATATTCAATACTGTAAAGTTTTATTAAATATGCCTTCACTGGAATGCTGAATTGCAGAGCTCGTACAAACATCCACATTGCTATGATCAGATGCTTTCAAGGGTTTTACGTTTAGCCATCATAAACAATTTTATTGTCCCCTTCTCCAATATAATATTACTATCATTAGTTTTGTCTATTTGTCTTACCGCCCAGATTGGTGGGCTTGTCAATGAGTGATGCGACCACCAGGAGGTTGCTGGTGAGTTTGCCCAGGCGTGCTGCCCTCTGCTGGGCCATGAGCTCAGGCTCCTGCTCCTGGACGCTCAGCTTCCACGGGGTGATTTTCTTCTGAACTTCTGCCCAGCGCTCGTCCTGATCCAAAACACCTATTAGACATACAACATGTGTGCTTGTAATGTAATGATTTCACTCTTCTTCTAACAAATTAGCTGGTGCTGTAAACAAAATTACATTAGAGCTGACAAGGCCACATTCCTCACACTGATTGAAACAAGGGAAATAGCTGAAGATTCCTGTGGTTTTTTCATAAGTGTGGTGTGGTTCCTGCTCTCTGCTGCCCTCATGTGTTGATTACCTTTGTCCTGCTGGATCCAGTCACCAGGCTGGAGTTCACAGAGATCCCTCACACTGTTCTTCAATGGCAGGGCGGCGCACATCGGGAAGACAACAAAACTCTCAAATTTCCATGGTGGAATCCACTCATCGTCTGCCAACTCTGAGAGGCTGGGAAAGGTCTGGAATATTGTCTGGGGAAGCAGAGAATGTGATGCTCTTGGTTATGACAGCACAGAACAAATCAGATTATACACAGACAAGTGTGTGTGTGTGTGTGTGTGTGTGTGTGTGTGTGTGAGAGAGATCTCACCTCAACACTGTAATCCCTGATTGGGTGAAAAGCACTGAAGAAGAAATGCTCCTGGATTCTAGACCAATTTTTCATTGCATTTCTGTGAAAAAAAAAAAAAAAAGTTTTAAAAGTCTCTGGCATCTCCAGGTTTCTTCTGAGAATTTAAGAAAAACCAGAGTGCAAAATTTAGTGCAAAAATATGCAATTTGGTGCACTTGCTGATATTTATACGGCCAAAAGGCCAGATAAAAAAAATTCTGACAGACTTAATGTAAATTAATGAGATATGCATCACAGTATAGCAGACTACGTACATAAAATGGTTATAAATATCAGTTGTCACACAGATAATTAAATGCTCTTTTTTCTGATCAAAGATCTGTAGGAAAACATATGATGAATGACAAATATATGTTCATTAAAAGCTAAATTTTAAAAGCCTAAAGATCACATTTTAATATGATCTTTCTAAAAAAAAAACAACAAACAAAAAAAAACCAAATCAAACCTAAGTAGCTTTCTAATAAGTGTTCATCTTGAAATATTAAAGCTCTTACATTTACTAAACAAAAATCAGTAAAGATTTCCCAGCAAAAAAAAAAAAAAAATGTACCACAAACTGAAGGGGGACATTTTTACAGTTATATTAAAAGGCCTTTTACTTTCTAAAAAAAAAAGCATAAACTATCAATTAGACACCAGAAGGCATTAGAACAGGTTTTTCAGCAAAGTTTTGATCATGTTGTTAATTTAAAGGGCATTATAAATTCCCAAATCAAATATGATGCAGTGATAACAGAGTTAATTAGTGAATCTTTCCTCACCCTGTGTTCTGCATGGCTTCAGCCTGCTGTAAACAGGCCTGGACTACCGTGGTCAGCCCACCCAGGCTTTCCTCCATGAGGACATGGGCGTCCTCCAGCTCCCACACCCTCTTAAGGGCGAGCAGGGCATAGAGACGAACGCTGAAGTTATGACTGAAACACCACTGCAGGCTCACCTCCACAGCTCTACGCCATTGCACCTCCTGAGAGAAAGCAGGAATGAATGTTGATTTCTTCCTGTTCGCAGAGGAAGACATTAGATTCAAATGATAAACACTTAACCTTTTCTTGCAGTTTCGGGAAGAGGACGTTCAGGTGCACGAGGACAGAGAGAAAAGTGCAAATGCTTGTTTTTGTCTTCTCATGCTCCTGTAAATCAAACGATTTACAAGTAAATAGACATATCGACGTACAGTAACTCAAGTGTGTAATTCAAGCCTGGTTTTGTCGCGTAAGTGTCTCACCTGTTTGTAGATTAAGGTTTGTGTGTTGATAAGTTCAGACTCACCAGACTGAAACAGTTCCACAGGTTCTGGATGTGAGACGGGTTCAGATGGAGGATCAGGATCAGGTTCCATTCGATCAGGTACTTGACGGATGCTTGGTTACTGCAGAACCCGGCCTCACACACGTGACTCAACACACACTCCGACACAAACTCCTGTGACAGATAAAGTACACTATTAAAGTGATAGTCTTATCTGCTAAAAAAAAATTAATTATTGATAAAATTTATTTTTTTATATATATATTTTCTTAATTAAATAAAATGTATTTTTTGGATAAAATGTATTTTTTTAAAATATGTTCTTAATTATTATTTCTTACTTATTTCTTATTATGTATGTATGTATATATATATATATATATATATATATATGCATGCATGTATGTATATATATATATATATATGCATGCATGTATGTATATATATATATATATATATATATGAAAAAATAATTGTCAATTTAATTGTAAATGTATTTACAAAGTCAGATTTTCTTAGTTTATCTGCTATTGGCATGTGTGAGGGAAACTTTATTTTGGCTGCATCTCATGTTTGTTGTAAAAAAAATATATTATTTTTAAAGAAACAAAAAGAAAAAGTGATAATGTAATTTTTTTAAAACATTTTCTTAATTAAATAAAATGTATTTTTGGATAAAATGTATTTTTTTAAAAATATGTTCTTATTTATTATTTCTTACTTATTTCTTATATGTATATATATATATATATATATATATATATATGAAAAAATAATTGTCAATTTAATTGTAAATGTATTTACAAAGTCAGATTTTCTTAGTTTATCTGCTATTGGCATGTGTGGGGGAAACTTTATTTTGGCTGCATCTCATGTTTGTTGTAAAAAAAATATATTATTTTTAAAGAAACAAAAAGAAAAAGAAAGCAAGTTGGTTTCAGCAGTGTTGGTTGGCAAGTATTTTTTTCAATAGGGATTTTTTTAAAAGTTAAAGTATTTTAAACCATGAATCAAGCCAATCAGCCACAAGGTGAATCATAACAACATAAAATTTGATTTGAAGCAAAAAAAAAAAAAAAAAAAAATGTAAAATCGGAGGTATAGGAAGACCTTTAGTGAAGGAGGTATAAGAACCTTTAGTGAAGGTAATAACTAAAATCACATTTGAAACAAGCAGCATAATCAAATAAAAAATGATGGAGAAATATAAAACTACTCATTTCCAAATGTTGATTAGAAATATTTTAAGTTCATTGCAAAATATGCATACATATACAAATATTTACGCATTTTGAGAGTGTAGCAAGATCGTCTCCATTATGTTATTCGCAGTGCTTCAAGTGAGTGGGCGGAGCTAAAGAGCTCTTTTGGTGAGTTCTGCTCTTTTTGACTCTGATTGGTGGAATTTTCTGCACAGCATCATGGGTAAGGTAGTTTTTCCACCACAAATTGTGCAGTTAAATAATTATTTAAAACAAATTGACAGAAGCAAATAGCATTGTTTAACAACCTCGTAGCTCACAGTAGGCCTGTTTTGAAGGGTTTTTAAGTTATCGTTAAAAATCTATTTCCCTATGGAGACTGTTGCACACAAAAAAACATTCTTACATAGTTGTCATTATATAATATTTAATTAATTATTTTTTGTCCTTCCTGTGCCCGTCTTTTAATGTAGGCGTGTTATACATACGCGAATGTTATGACCTCTTTGTGGGGGTGTTATCAAATCACCTTCATTCAAAAGCATAATATAAAAGTGAAATTGTGATCTGACAATATCTGAATTTGTATCGGCCAAAATCCTAGAAAGTGTATTAATATGCATGTGTGTGTAGAGCTCTAACCGGTCTTAGTTTATGCAGTAGCAGCAGCAGCGTCTGCCACACGCGGTTCTTCACTCTGTGCTGGATGGAGTTGCTATAGTAACGTACTTTGGATTTCGAAATCTCAGCATCCTGAGGGAAGGAAAAGAGAAACAAGAGGGAACTTTAATCATAAACACATGAAATAACCATGAGAAGAGGGGCATTCAAAATAGAATCAAACACACACTGTTTTCAGGAAGAGCTTTCTTTAAGAATTGAACACACAATTTCCAGTCAGAGCTGTAGTTAAGAATTGAGCACAAACCTTCCTCAGTAGTCGCAGCACGAGCTCTTCCATCAAACGCTGGTGGAGACGATTAGATGGATTCAAGCGGCAGAGAAAAGCCAAAGCACACACTCGAGGAAACTGATCGTCTCTGTTATCACTGGAAATGAGATTCAGAATAATACATGTAAATCAGCATCAAAGTATTTGACATGCTATGAGGAAAACTACAATGACTATATTTAACTCTAGCTTTGTACCACATAGTCTATTTGTAAAAGTCAATGTTGTCAACCTCTAAAAGTGTGCATACCACAACAACATTTCTTCACAATTATGGAATGCTTTAATGAAACCTTACTCATTAGTGTGTCAAAACCTCTATCTAACACATTACAAACAGCTAGTGTTGTGGTTTACCTGCTGACAGCTGTGTTTGCTGCACAACTATCACCCAATTGCTCAACATAGCTTTGAACCTCCTGAACAAGCCTGAAAGCAAGAGAAAAAATGATAATAATAATATGTAATAAATGATAATATATATATATACACTATATATATATGTTTTCTATGAACATATGCATAAGTGCTGTCAAATCGATTAATCAATTAATAGAAAATGTTACACAAAAAGATATGTATATTACAAAAAAAAACAAATACTAACAAAAAACAATAAGTGTGTTATATATATATATATATATATATATATATATAGTTGTTGTTAGTATTTTTTATATATTTATATTATATTTATTTATTTATATAACAATGTTACTATTTGAATATCTTAATGTTGTTTAAATTGACCTTTGGTCTCTTCTGAACACTGGGCCATACACACAGGCCTCAGTCAGGATGTCGAGGTGTAAGAGAGCCGTACTGAACACAGCGTCTGACTGGACACCCTCTGCTGGAAGCCACGTCTCACAACAATGTTGGATCAGAACATTAAACACCCCTGATCGGACCTGAGCCAACTCCATAAGCTCACTCAAAATCTGTCAAAACCAGAAAGCTGTTATTATATACACTAGCTATATATATTTTTGATCACAGATACCTTAACATATGTGAGAAGGCGAAGTGCTTGTAGATCTCTCCCTGACCTGTTGTATGCAGGCCGTGATGCTGGGGTTCTGTTCCTCTGTGAGCTGCAGAAGCCCATGGTCAAAAGCTAAGCGCACGAATCCCAGCAGTGTGGACCAGAAGTCATGAGGGTTTGTGCTCAGAGCCTGAACCACTTTCCATGATGCACATATGACCTCAACGCACAGAGATTCTTCACACTGCACCACCTGCTGGAGAAAACACACCCATGAAATAAACACGCATCACTAACTCTGAACCTACCCCTAAACCTAACCTTAAAGGGATAGGTCACCCAAAAATGAAAATTCTGTCATGATTTTCTCACACTCCATTTGTTCCAAACCTGTGTGAATTTCTTTTTTAACACAGAAGAAAATATTTTGATGACTGTGAATAACCAAGCAGTTGAGGGGCCCCCCAATGACTTCTATAGTATGGAGAAAATTTTTTATTTAATTCAAGAATACAGTCTATGTCCTTCTCTTTTGCTGCCCACCTGTGGCAAGACTGATGCCATGAAGTCCAGCACCGGCAAAACGAGATGGCCAGGCAATAATGCCAGAGCATCCACCGCAGCCCTCAGGACCTCAGGAACTTCAGGAGCTTCAGGAGCCCGGACGGTCCCAGTACACTTCTGCAGGAAACTCAGACATGTCCACTGATCGCCAATAAACTGGGCCACAATTCGCCCCCAGTCCTTCAGCAAGAGGCCGTCTTCTGGATGGCTGGAGTAAACACACATTCATAAATGAATAAGTGATAATGCTCCTCAGAAAAAAAATACTTGGATAATAGTTTCATCTTGTCAGGAGCCAACAGTCACAACAAGTCAAACCACGACCGTCGTGCTGAGTGATCTGAACTGTATGAACGGCGTTCGGGGATCGACTTATCGAGACTATTTTCTAAGATGGCTCCTGTCTGTATACATGAAGTGAACTGTCTTCATAAAAAATCTTCTTATTAAACGGTCTGTGCACTTACAAAGTTCTCAATGCTTCGTTTTGCATGTAGGGACCCTCATTATGTTACTGTGTTAGTGTGGGGCTATTTTGAGCCTTGTTAGTGGTATAAACAAGCGATTTCCCCTAGTGCTAGCATTATACGCTAAACAGCTTTTAGAGATAAAACTCTTTACATTGGATTATCAGGAAAACAAATCTCAGAGAATGATTGACTTAGGTACCGATGTTTTATTAGACCAAAGGTTCATTTTGCGCCGGAGTTCTCCTTTAACTAACAAATGGAGCCTTATTGCAAAGGTCTACTGAAATAGTTTTAGAGCTTGTACAGACCCAAGTGTCACAGTTGTGGGCTTCAGTAATGTCTGGTTGAGATGCTGGGATGATGATGATGATGATGATGAAGGGTAGAAATAATCAGTCAGCGAGTGAAGTGATCTCATGGCCTCAGACTGGGACTTCAGGACACCTTGATCAGCCATGTCACACAGCAGCGCAAGTGTGCCCATACTGACCGCTCTCTGAACCTGCCCTGGCACAGAGGGATTCTGGGAAAACACAGATTAGATCTAATTGCATCAGAAAATGCCATCCACTTACAAAATGTTTTAGTAGGCATCTAATTTGCTAACTAGGAGCTAACTTCAAAAAACATCCAAAATACAGAAGAAAACTTTCAGTGCTTTGAACAAAAAATAAATAAATAAACAAGATTGTTGTGATGCTCTGCTTTATGGTTCTTTTCAAATCAAATGTTTCTGTAATGACAGCCTAACTTCATATTAGACTTAAAATTGAAGGTAAACACAACATACAGTCACACAACAGCAATTCTGGGGACAAAATAAAAACCTGTAGAATTTTAGGGTTGATAAGATTTCTAATGTTTTTGAAAGAAGTCTCCTAAGCTCACCAAGACAAGTACAGTAAAAACAGTAATATTGTGACAGCTGATTTGGTGTACAAGAAACATTTATTTTTATTATCAATGTTGTAAACTCCACCTGTTCAGAAGGTTCATTGAGGATCCTCAAGCAGTGAGTGGTGAGTTTTGGGATGTAGTTCTGCTGCAGATTTAAGCCATACCACGAAACAGTGGAATAAGTGAGAACCAGCTCCCTTAATACTGAGAGATAAAGTTCAGACCTCTCCACATCACATAACTAGAGAGAGAAGACAGATACAACAGTGTAAAAAAAAATCCCCTGAAAATCCAGCTAAACGTAATGGTAGTTTATTTCACATGGTTTTTAGGTAGTTCAAATTGATGGTCATCAGCTGATCTAAATGGTTGATGGAACAGGTTTTGACAAGGTTGATTACCGCTGATTACTGCTGGTCCACCACCTTGGATCATAGGGCTGGGTATCGATTCAGATATTCAAATTCGATTCGTTTTCGATTCGCAAGCTCTCAATTTGATTTCGATTCCTGATTCAATTCTCGATTTGACTATAATGATGAATATAATATAATATATGTAATCCAAATCCTATTAAGAGCCGCAAACTTGTATAAAAAGCTCTTTTTTTTAGATACACTATACACTAAAATACAGGACTTTGATGCAAGATGCAAAATTGACGCTGAAAAATGGAAAAGTCAGAACAATCTAACGCCTTCAAATCAAATAGGATCAGGTTATTTTATGTTTTAGATAGATAAATTAGATAGATAGATAGGCCTAGATTAGATAGATAGATAGATAGATAGATAGATAGATAGATAGATAGATAGATAGATAGATAGATAGATAGATAGATAGATAGATAGATAGATAGGCCTAGATTAGATAGATAGATAGATAGATAGATAGATAGATAGATAGATAGATAGATAGATAGATAGATAGATAGATAGATAGATAGATAGATAGATAGATAGATAGTCATTTTTAGACTATTTTTTAGACACATAGAAACTTGATTTCAATCTTTGAATTAAATTGAACAAGTAGCACAAATAAATACAACAGAATAAAGACAAAAATAAAGAGATAATAAAGAAATAAAAAGAAAAGTTTCTTGGGTAGATCAGGAATACTACAGAAAATGAATAAAGAAATCCAATGTAAAATCACACTGGATAGTCTTTTAGTCTGGTTTAGCTGAATTAAATACATAGGCTATTAATTCTGATTGCTTACAATTAATGCTATATTATGTTGTTTTAACAACAAAATTAATGATAGAACTATTGCACAGATCCATTACGCTTTCATTATACTGAACCTGTCTGTCACACGTTTTTTCATGCTTATTTAAGACATAACCAACTGTCTTTTACAAGATTACTCGCCAAGACCAGAATTTTGACATAATTTTGAGTGTTTTTAACTGTTAAAGTGATATTATCTATGAAAAAGAACTTTTATTACTGGCGAGCTGTTTGCGAGGTGGATTTAGGCTTTACTGTATGTGCACGCAGTCAAAGACATCTCTGACAGTGCGCGAGCACGGGATAGTTTAAATGTGCTTGAATGTTTAAACTGGTAAAACTTAAACAGACATGACGTTAGTTACAATGCAATGCTGGTGAATATTCCGTCCCGACTCCCAAACGTAGAGTGTGTATTGACGCCTGCTGCCTCGTGCAGAGAGAGCAGACGCAGCACCACGGGCCCTGAATATGGAAAAAATCCTAATCGTGGCCGTTGTGAATCGACCACATTTAAAAAAAACGATTCATCGAAAAATCTTTTTTTTTTTTTTTTTTTTTGCCCAGCCCTATTGGATCAGCAATAAACCAGTTTTGACAACCCAGGCTTAGTTTTTCCCAGTAGGATTCTGTGTGAAAACACTGACCTCCTTCAGTTCCCCACTCAACCTCCTCAGCAGAAACTCCTGCACTGAATCCACCACCGACAGCATGTGCGTCTTCAAAGCGACAGCCACAACATCTTCTACAAACATCCAAACAAATCAGCTTCAAGACTTCCATTCAGCATGTCTGTCTTTTCTCAAACACAACACACACCGTTCTCCTGCTCTGTATCGGAGCGTCTGCGATGCAGCTGCAGCAAGCGCAACATTAACTGCAGGCTCTTGTCCGTCTTGTGAAGCACCAGATAGACATTAGTGCTAAGTCTCCGTAAGACATCCAGTAGAGGCTGGAGAAGCAGTTCTAGACCAGGTTCCTCATCCCTGGTCTTCTGCAGGTCTGCTGTAAGCAGAACGGCCCGCGCCACCAGCTCGGCCTCAGCTGGATCAGGTAGACTTCCTTTTTGATCTGCCAGAAGAGAAAAAACTATACAGTCAAACTAAAAATTATTCAGACACCAGGTATATGTTTACTGGTGGGTGCAGGACACTATAGTTCATTTATATAAGTGAGGATAGCAAAATAAAGTCAACTGCCGTATTATACACATTCATACAGTGGACAATACGTTCAATTTATAAAACTTTGGGATCAAAAATGCTTCAGACACTTTGACCTGAGCATGTTTTGTGTAAGTGTTTCTGTTTAATTGCTAACGCAACGTTTTTACACCACAGACTGAACAAAATTAAGCATTGCTTGATAATTGGTAAAGCTAAATTGGTATTATCTGATTGTGTACTTAAATTTAACAGCTGACAGCTGACCCTTCGCTAAGCCCCGCCCTCCCTAGTTACTGTTGCTACGCCTGTCAAGCTTTCGCGACTGGCCCATCTATTATAGTGTGGATGCACCCCGTATCAGACATTCCCAATGAGATAATTAGTAATTTTCGGCGAACAAGTGAAATATCTGAGAGAGCAAGACAAAAGGGACTACAGTATGCATTCGAGGGATATATTCACGACATTATATGCAACCGATTAGAGAACAATTTCTTAAAAATTGAAGTTAAAGCCTATAGTCCCAGCGCAAGCAGCAGCGCCTCATACGCTGACCGTTCAAATAGGAAACACAAATTGAGGAACAGCTATGTTCATACACAGCAGGGTATGTGAAAATAATCTCAATAATTATAAATCAAACAGCTTATCAATAAATCATGTGGAATAACACTAATACCGGGAGAGCTGCGATCGGATTGGGTTAAGTTACTTAACAAAATGCTGAAATATATTTTAAAGTATGTCAGTGAGCCTTTGTCTTGTCTCTTTAATCGTCTTATTTTACGTTATCATTATGACCAAAGAACCGTCAATATTTCCAAGCAATAGGTGTTTTTGTTAAGCATGTCGACATTTACCAGTAGTTGTGAATGAGTCTCGCACATAGACGCTAGATCACGCCAATCATTTCTCCCCTTGGCTTTTAGATTTTCTGGAAGGAAAACAATTCCTCTCCCCCGTCCAAACTTTTAGTATACCGGTATCAGATTTGCACAATCCATACGCACAATGCTTCAGCATGTTTCCCTCGTTCGAAAGCTTGCCAGACCTCCCGCGCATAGTTACGGTTGCTACAACATGATTGGCCAGTGGCGGTTTTCGGGCGTGGCTTAGCGAAGGGTCAATTCATTTGTGAGAGAGTCTAACAGAAGGATGGCCATAACCAGTGAAATATCAACTGATTTGATAGTTCTTGTCATATTTTATTACCATTTTCTAAACTATAGCGAATAAACTGTGACAATGTGAGAAATGTTGAAGGTGTCTGAAAAAAGTTGGTTTGACTGTATATACAGCATAAAAGTTTAAAGGTATAGCTAAATGTAACGTATTTTATTAGGTTTATTTAAGGATTGTTCACTGAATTGTTTTAAAAAGTTGTCATTTCAGGGCAGGGCATTGACAGGAATGTTGTTACAGAATTGATTAAGGATGTCGATGTAGAAATGTCTAATTTGGCCAAAATGTTGTGCTGTCTGTCACCTGAGTTGGCTGGAACTGCGAGAAAGGTGTTCAGTCGCTGCTGGACGTAGCTGAATATAGAAGCAACTTTACTGCGAAGTTCAGAAGAGCCTAAATCCCCGTCAGTCAGAAGAAAACGGCCTTCATTAGTCTGGAGCCAATTACACAGCTGTGACGGGAGCAAAGTTTGAACTTTAGTACGTTGTGAATATTAGCTAAGATAAATACTTTGCATTTTGTGCATGACTAAATTATGGTTTCGTTAATATATACTTTGAGTTTACCTCCTTCCAAAGTGCTGTACCCCGACATAGAGACTCATCAGCTCGAAAATGTGCAAGGAAACCAAATATCTCATCTAGAGACACAGCGGACTGCCAAAACAAGAAAATCCTTCACATATATGTTCTGTTTGATCATTAAATGAACTATTAAATTACTTTAACTTTGCTAAGAAATGACATCAATGAGGTTGTGTGGGGTATTAGAACAAAGTGATTAAAACAAGACTATTACTATTACTAACCCTATAAAGCCTATAGTATTATTTTTAAAAAGTGAATTTCTAAACCCACTAAACTGTCAAGATAATCAAAACTTTACTTTTTAGCAATTAAAAGGCCTTTTAGAACAATTATATAACGTCCACATTAAGGGCGTGACTCGTGGTACATATGCTTTGCTGTGAAATGATTTTTTTTTAAAGTAAACAATAACTTTAAGATAACTTTATGTTGTTAGTAATATTTCAAGATGAGCATTTACAGGACTGAAGCAAATGATTATCCATGAATGCATTAGTTATATACGTCACATGTTAATATGCGAGTATTAAACATGGTTCAACAGGCTTTTAAGAAATGAGTATCTCTTAATCATCATTATATTGCATTGCATTACATGTTTTGCCCCTACAATGAAAATTAAAGAGCCTTGATCATAAAACTAAGCATTTAAATGTAATCTTACTAAGACATTTAAATTAATGCTAACAGAATTTCATCTTAAATTTTGGACATATAAATAACAACATCTTTACCAAATTGCATTTGCAATTACACTCGAGGCCCACAGAGAAGGAAATTAATAGTTGAATAAAGTCGTTATTTTTGTTTGTTTGTTTTTGTGCACAAAAAGTATTCTCGTCGCTTGATAAAGTTATACTTGAGCCACTGTAGTCACTTGGACTATTTTAACAATGTCTTTAATAACTTTTCAGGGAACAAGTTTCAATCCCTTAAAGGGATACTCCACTTTTTTTGAAAATAGGCTCATTTTACAACTCCCCCAGAGTTAAACAGATGAGTTTCACCGTTTTCGAATCCATTCAGACGATTTTCTGATATTTATAAGAATATCAGTAACCAGACAGTTTCTGGTCTCATTGACTTCCATAGTATATATATTTTTTTCCTACTATAGAAGTCAATGGGACCAGAAACTGTCTGGTTACTGATATTCTTCTAAATATCAGAAAATCGGCTGAATGGATTCGAAAACGGTGAAACTCAACTGTATAACTCTGGGGGAGTGGTAAAATGAGCCTATTTTCAAAAAAAGTGGAGTATCCCTTTAAGAAGCCTATGGAGGAGTGATCCAGCTCTCAGATTTCATCCAAAATATCTTACGGGATTGGAACAAAATGTGGGTGAGTAAAAAAGGGTGAAAGAGGGTGAAAAGAATTTTCACTTTTGGGTGAACTATCCCTTTAAGAATCTGAAGGAAAAAAGCAACTGTACAGTACCACATCTGTCAGGCATAGAGCGGCATGGAGCAGAAAACACTGTGAAGCTCCTCTCAAAAGAACCTGGTGAGTGATCATAGTACAGCGCATAACTTCTCTGGAAAAAAAAACACACACGACAATAGAATGAGCAGGTCAAGTGAATTACAAACACATTTTTTTTTACAGTCTATGGTGTCTATTCAAAAGACTCACAAGTATGTATTGTACGATCATCAGAGTTTTGGGTGAATAGACTTTTAATGGAGAACCAGAACTCTCTCACATTCATTAAAAACATCTTTATTTGTGTTTCGAAGGTGAACAAAAGTCTTACGGGTTTGGAATGACATTAGGATTAAGAGTCAATGATGTCTACATTTTGATTTTTGGGAGAACTATTCCTTTAACTCTCTCTATATTTCTCCAATTGCAGGATTTCATGATTCCAGCAGCTAGTAGTTTGTACCTGAATGCGTTGAGTCCATCAGATCCCAGTAAAGGACAGGGGGGCAGACAGGACAGGGCCTGGGACAGAAAGAGCAGCGGGACTGCGCACCATTGCCGTGAACCCAACCGCTGAATGATCTGCAGCAACACTGAACCTGAACACAATGACAATTATTTCTGGATGTGGAACTAGACGATTCAGACCAGCTCTAAATATCCTGAACTATTTGTGATGGATTTAATTAACAGCCTAAAACAATAAAATCCAAATCATAGACTGGCCCTCTTTACCTCTGTTCTCTTCTGGCAAACTGCTGAAGAAATTCACCATAAAGATTTGGAGCTTCACTCCCAGCTCTGGACAATCTTTGATGTTCTGCTGTGGTGCCCTGTGGAAGCAAACAGCTTAAAAAACATTCAAAGATAGAGACCACACTAATTGAATTATGTAATAAAACTTCACCAGTTTAATTAACACCAGGGAACAATTACCTGTGATAGAGAGCGCTCTCTGCAAGAACATCCATGAGAGGGCCGATTACAAACTGATAACCAGAAAAACATTCATCATCAGTAATTGCTTTCACTATTTTATTTACATAATGTGACATGTATCATATTTGATTTGTTTGATTGAGTTTCTAAGGCCAAATATAAAATAAAATAATATGTAAACTTTTAAGATTTTTTTTAAATTGTCTAAAGATACGCTATACTGTTCTATTTCAAAAAACTGATTTTTCGTCTCTCTTTTTGATGAACTCTGAGAGCTTTCTGTCCCTCTATTGACAGCTACACAACTACCACTTTGACGCTTCAAAAAGTTCGTGAAGAGATCATAAACTACCGTAATCCATGTGAATTGAGCAGTTTAGTGCAAATTTCATGAGACTTGATCGCTTTATATGATGAACAGATTGAATTTAGACGTTTATTCACATCTAAACATCATAGCATCTCATACATCATCAGCTGAGGTAAATGGAAGCTCAAACTTGTTCATTTGACATGCGAGAACCAATGAGATCATTCTCGTGTTACGCATCACGTTTGAGCTCCAGCAAGAACCAATGAGGTTCATTCTTGTGTTACGCATCCTGTTTGAGCTCCCGCAAGAACCAATGAGGTTCATTCTCGTGTTACGCATCACGTTTGAGCTCCCGCAAGAACCAATGAGGTTTGTTCTCGCGCATCAAGCATGTACAGTTGAGCTTATGTTTATGTTCGCTAATCAATGACTGTTTAAAAGTGAATAAAATCTAAAATAAAACTTTATCATTTAAAGAGAACATTTTAACTAAACCACTCAATTTAAATGGATTAGTTTTACGATCTCTTTATGAACTTTTTGAAGCGTCAAATTGGTAGTTGCATAGCTGTCAATGGAGAGAACAGAAAGCTCACAGTTTTGGAACGACATGAAAGCGAGTAATTATTTTTTGGTTAACTATGCCTTTAAGGTTCAAGGATGGATGGATACCTGTGAGAATGCCAAAGCAAATGCAGAATGATGCAGTGCTTTCAGCTCTAACAGGTGATTGACTCCTTCTTTCATAACCGCCTTGTTCTCACTGTGAAACATGCGCTGATACACACACAGCAGCCAGGACGGAGAAAACAGCCCACCTGATTACATAATACGGAGAGAGCCGGGGAACAGATTTGAGACCAATCAGAGAGCAAAACTGATATTGTGCTGCCACATAAGAAACATGACAAACCTTGAATATCTGTTGCCGTCGTCTCAACAAGCACGTCAATCCTTTTGAGAACAGGTCGAATCACGTGAATCTTAAACAAAAATGATAAACAAACACATAGATATTAGCGAACATAAAATGCAGTTAAAAATATTTTATTTCTATAATCTGACAAATATTCAGATTGTTGGACGATCAATTTGAATTTGAAAAATAATTCTTAAACTTTCTTAAAATCAGAATTGACAAATCTTTTGTCAAGTTTTTTTTAATGAAATATTTCAGGATTTATTATAAATGATTTATCCATGCACATGATTCATTTGTTGTTGTTGTTTTTTATTATTAGTAGTAGTACTAGTAGTAGTAATGTGCCTTCTAATGACATCACAGCAATAGCAAACCACAAACATTCAATCCCGATGGACAAAATTAAGTTCCACCCTACATGTTTTTATTGTTGGAGACGCTGTTTCATGCGTATAAATAGTAGTATGACAAGTATGATAGTTTAGGCTAGTTGGGTTTTAAGATTCTAAAACTCGAAATAAAGCATTCTCACCTGGTTCTCCTCTAGAGTCTCTAACACTAGAGCAAAATCTTCCCAGAATTCTCTCAGTAAATGCTGTTGTTCTGGCATCCATCTGAACAGGATTTCATCTGCAGAGATCCATGACATTTGTGGACAATGTTAGAAGTCCTGAACAATTTTAGAAGTCATGACATGTTGCACTGACAGATAATGAAGATCATCCTACCTGTGTGGGGTTCCACGCTGGTAAACACATCTTCTTTCTTGATCTCTGCCAGTGCCACACACCTGGTGAGCAGGTAAAGCGCCCGTTTGCGGGTCACACTGTCCTTGTGAGTCAACCCGGCCTGAATTGCCCTAAAAAACCTTTGAGATCTTCTAGGGTCTGGCCGGTTCTGAGAGGTTTCCCAAGAGTAGAGGTGGTCAGAGAGAGCAGTGAGACACAACAGAACCCGAGCTGACACTGATTCGGTCTGGTCTCTCTGATGCCAGGACAGTAAATCCTCCCATATCTGATGTAGGACCTCTGATTCAGCCTCTTTATGGCAGGACTTGAGTATGGTGAACCAGATCCGTACTATGATTTTTGAAACTATGGAGTCAGAGAGATCTTTGACACAGCAAAGGGTGCAGGATAGAGTCCTGAAGATGATGTCTCTATCATATGAGATGCTAGATAACAGCACTGCTGTGACTTCTATGGCAACATCTACGTCTAACCTGCCGGTTTCGTTGTTGGCATCATCTCTCGTCATCAGCACTTGCAGAAGACCATGACTTACCTGCTCAGATACATCGTCAGTCTGACAGGTACTGACACAGACTGCAAAGAGTCCACAGACAGAGCTGAGAAGATCCTTACCTCCATCATCTGCACTGGAGATCATTTTCAGTAGCGACATGCATTGATCCCATATAACTGACTGCACCTTACAAATAAAGCGCTCCTCTTGTGATTTATTGGAAAGCTCCTTGATCAAAATAGTTAAAGCTTCAATCTCCTCTATTTCGGGGCGTGATGAGCTTGGCCAGCACAAATTATTGATCAAATCCTCGGGATCGGGATAGTGGGACAATAGGGTGTTTATCAAAAAATTAGACATCTCCCTTACAAGTTAAAAAACACCCGTCAAAAAATAAGTAAAACCCGGTTCGATGTTTTGCCTTCTTCACACGTGTGAACCGGTGTGTCTACTTCCTGAAATATTACGTCAACCATCTGCGCATGCGCCATGTGAGCAGAGTTGCTGCCAGCAGGGGGCGCGTGGTGGCTAATAACCGCATGGCTTACGGAAGGTCTGACAAAATTTTGTAAAAGTTGAATAAAAAAAATAAAAAAATAAAAAACAAACAAACAAACAAACAAACAAACAAAAAAGGTCTGACAAAACATCCTTTTTTAGTTATTTCTTATTTGCATATTTACAATTTACCTGATATTTACATTGGTGGATTTTATAGCCCACTAAACGTAAAGTTTTTTGTTTTAATAAAATTCTGTTTATTTTTATTTTATGTGAAAGGATGACCAGGCTCTTTATTTTTTTTAGACTTTAACATTTACATATTAAGAGCAGAGCAGCCTAATTTCTACAATAGGGCCATTCTTTGAACATGCTTTGTTGGTTAATTGGATATGTTTCTTGGACAACCTCAGTGTTGGCCTCCCCTATGTTTTAGAATTGACTTTATTAAAATTTAAAATGTTAAAATTTTATTGATCAATTCACTTTTAAAACTCTTCATAGCTTCTCACCTTTCTGGCCTTTTAGTCCCACACACCACATACCTTGAAATCCTCGGGCAGAGGTGTGCTGTCTGTTCCAGAGTCTCGACTAAAAACTAAAGAGGACAAAGCCTTTGCAGTCAGGGCCCTATAATGCTCTGGAAAAGCCTGCCCGAGGAAATCAGGTTGGCTGAGTCGAAAAAATACTTTTATAGAAGAGCCTTTCTTGATTTTGTCTGACTTAATTTTATCCCATTTTATTTTATTCTATTTTATATTTATCTTAAACGTGTCTCTTGCGTGTTTTCTTGCTTTTATCATGTAAAGTTTTTGTGTTTTATTGTGTTGTTTTTTTACACTTGTTTATCCCATTTGTGCCCAAATTTTTCTGAATGGTTTCATGCATATAGTCGTGTTAATAATGTCCTATGTGAACATGTTCTGCATTTATTTCCTCAAGTTTTTTTTTTCTTCTTCTTCTTGAAAATCGTATTTGAATGTGCGGCAACTATAGTTGCCGGTGGGCAAATATGTTGTATGCACCTAATCAATGTTAAATATGAATAGGAGGAGAACATTTGGCATCTATCTCAAAATAACTGCTTTCAACAGATCAATCTTTATTCATAAACAAATTTATTGTGTATAAAAGTCGAAGAATGTTTGATGCGAACCCAAAAATCTATAGTCTTATAATCTATAGCTTATAATGTCTTGAATATAAAAACACAACAAACAACAAATCCATTTGTCTTAAACCTTGTGCGCTGTTTGGGATCTTTTTGACCCACATTTCTAACTTTCATTTATGGGGATAACATGGATAATTTGACATGGTTTAGTGTAAGATTTTTGCCAATCTTTTGGAAAATGCCGTTTTAAAAGTAACAAATTATCACTTTAACCAGTAGATGGCTGCAGAGCTCCACTATTTGCGATTTGCTATTTGACTAAATGAAAGACATATTTTCACAAGTTTTTCCAGTTGTATTCATATCTAGATATTATGAAATCATAATTATAACAATAAAAGCAACTTTTTGTCGAAGTTTAGGCATTTTTTGTACTGGAAAAAAAATCTGTTTTTCAATAATGTTATAGAATCAAATGACAATGGACAAATGGACAAAATTCATCCTCAAAATCAGAAAGAACACAGAAATTTGGTGGCACAATTTTTGAATTATATGAAAAACAGATGTTTGAAATAAATTATAAACTCTAAAGACTCCAACTTTTCTCTTTGTAACATCCTGATCAGGTTTGATTCTAATCATAATGTAACATTATTGAAAAACTGATTTTTTTCAGTACAAAAACTGCTAAACTTTGACAAAAAGTAACTCATATTGTTATAATTATGATTTCATAATATGTAGATATGCATATATCAAAAATGTAATTTGTTACAAAATGTAACAAATTACATTTGTACAAAATTTGTACAAAATTTGTTACAAAATTACATTTTGTTGGGTTGGGTTGCAACCCGGTCTCATTGGAAATACGTACCTCTGCACACTTTGGCGCTGCAAAAAAGTGTGCAGAGGTACGTATTTCCAATGAGACCGGGTTGTTTTGTTGCCTGGGGTCTCTGAGACCACAAACAGCCTGACTGTAAACCTCAAATGAACAGCGCACAAGGGTTAAAGTGGTACAGTGCAGAACAAAGTGCAGCCATAACAGGGCACTAAGTGTATCAAAAAGTTAAATGAAAATAAATAAATACAAATAAATAGAATGAAGTAAAAAATTATATATATATATATATAACAAAAAACAAATGACAAAATGGCAAAAAACTAATAACAGTGCATACAAGTGCATTTTTTATTAAAGTTATCAAACAAGTCCAATAACCTTAGTATACCCCATTTCCCCATGATTTATGTACTTACAAGGCATTTGCCCACCGGCAACTATAGTTGCCGCTTGCACTTTTGAGTATACAAAAAATTATAGATCTACTGTAAGATTTGTTTTGTTTAGAGGATTCTAGAGACCTTCATGATTATCTATATATATATATATATATATATATATATATATATTAGGGCTGTGCAAAAATTAATTGTGATTAATCGCATCCAAAATAAAAGTCTGTGTTTACATAATATATTTGTGTGTGCTGTATATAATTATTTTGTATATATAAATACACACACATGCATCTATATATTTAAGAAAATGTGTTATTCATATATGAAATATTTATATTTATATAATATAGATTATGTATTTATAAATATATACAGAATTTAAGCGCAAATAATTCTTAAATACATGCATGCATAGGTATTTATATATACAAAATACTTATATACAGCACACACAAACATATTATGTAAACAATAAACAATATTATGTAAGACTTTTATTTTGGATGCGATTAATCACAATTAACTTTTACACAGCCCTAATATATATATATATATATGTCAACAAAAAAATACTTATTAGTAATATGAAAATTATCTTTCTTTGGGAGGGTTTGCCTTCACCATGCTTCCTGGAAGTAGGGGTAGGAAGTTGACAGCCTCATGTGACAGGAAGGAAATGAATACCTTTTTTTTTTTTCTTGAAATCCTGTATTTGGTTGTTTCCTTGCATGACATTGACATGGATAAAAATACTTACACAAGGAAAATGACTATACACTGCGGCAACTATAGTTGCCGGTGGGCTTAAATGGGTTAAGTACTTTGTGACTTGTTTTTTTGAAATCTAATGTGTTGATTTTACCTTGAAAAGACGTGCAACTAGTTAACTAGTAAAGTAAAAAACCTTTGAACACAACAGATGTGGCTCAGTACAGAGCGTTGGGCTTTAATCAAGAAGACCTGAGTTCAATTCCCATACTTGCGTTAATTTGTTGTGATTATATCAAACAAAAGTGGCCTAAACAATATTTCTTCAACCCGGTATCGTGACAAGACGTGAAATAATCACTTTGGTGCACTTTTGAAAACGCGTAGATGTCACGGTTTAAACCCCCTCAAACGTGAAACTTACACTTAAAACTTACCATCACGACCTATTGGTTTTCATTAAACCGAGAAAAATGGAATTTTGTTTTATTGACGATCACTGAGAAATGGTCTAATATTTAAAATGCAAAAAAACATTTATTATTTTCACGGTGAACAGCTAATTTGCCTCGATCAACGCTGAAAAAAAAGTCTAAATGTCACAGTTTTAATAAAGCAGCCTAAATAGTCCACTTTGGAAAATGTGTAGATGTCATGGTTTAACCCCCTCAAACGTGAAACGTAGCCTACACGTTTGCGTTAAGAGATATCTGGATGTTTATTTGCCTCTGCCATAACGACCTGGTTTTCTTTAAACCGAGAAAATGGAATTTTGTTTTATTTACGATCACTGAGAAATGTTCTATTATTTAAAATGCAATATATATATATATATATATATATATTTTTTTTTTTTTCAAGGTGAAAAGGATTCATTTGCCTGGATCCACCCCGAAGAAAACGTCTAAATGTCACGTTTTTAATGAAGCAGCCTAATGAGTAAAATGTCTATTTTTCCGGCGTCCCCCAGCTCCTTGTTTAAGCAAAAGGTACGCTAAAACAACGTATTACATCGACGTTAAACCGTGTTAACCGTGTTAACCATAACCTGTTAAATACTCAACCTAGTTCCATTGCTTAGCAACGGGAAGAAACTCCTGTAACTTCAGTGCCCAACCCGCATCACGACAAGACGTGAAATAATCACGTTGGTCCACTTTGGAAAACGTGTAGATGTCACGGTTTAGTTTAAACTCAGAACCATAAATAGGGCTATACTGCCCTCTTGTGTCAAATTATATTTCTATATTTATTTTCCCACCAAATAAAACCAAACCCGCAATAAAAGCCCATCCAATACACCCTTTAACTCCTATCTTATTTCAGGTTAGGAAATCATATCGCTAGCATCAACGTTTCTGTCAAACTTTAGCTATTGTAACCGATGTCACTTTTCATCTCGCGAGCTTATGCTGCTTTTAATCGGCGTTTTTTTTTTAATAAAACATACACTGAAAATGGAGAATTAACATCGCAGTCATGTGATTTAGTCAGCTTGATTAACATTATTATAATATATTACTATTTAACACAGATGTTATTTGCTAATTACATAAACTATAAGCTCAATTCATTAGTATAAATATAGATTTAGTATATAAATATATATTTAGTATAACATTTTTAAGTATACAGTATATTTGTAGCGTACCGTACCGGTACTAAAATGTGACGTGAAACACTGTAGATCACTGATTGGTCAGACAGAATCGTCACTACCAGCATCACTACTAGCGTCATTGGATTTGCGACACGAGACACGAGACACTTTTTTAGCAGTATTTTGTTTTGCTGCCATCAGCCTCATTTTAAACACATTTTTCCGTCTAGCAGTTAAAAACAACCACATACCGAGAATCAGGAACACCATCCCCTCGATAGTCTCCATTGTTGCTGTGTTGTGGGTTTGAAAATGTGGCGCTTTTAAGATGATTTCATGGCAGTAGAGGCGCGCGCAAATAACGATCAGTCCCACACACTTTGAAGGGGTACTACTGCAGTGGAAAAGCAACAGAGCTAAGCGAACCGAACCGGTCCGTACCGACTCAAAATGTACCACGCAGTGGAAACGCGAAGCGAGCCGAACTGTTCCGCGCAGAGTCGAGCCGTACTGAGCCGAACCGTACCGTACTATGCAGTGGAAAAGCGCCATGTGCAAATGAAATGTACTAGAGTCTGGTTGAACCAGGCTAATTCCAGAGCCTATAGGGCCCGACTTCAAAAGCTTTGTCCTCTTTAGTTTTTAGTCGAGACTCTGGCACACCTCTGTCTGGGGATCTCGCCTATGTGGTGTGTAAGGTCAGAAATATAACAAGGTGAGAGGCTATGAAGAGCTTTAAAAGTGATCAATACAATTTTAAAGTCAATTCTAAAACATACTGGGAGGCAGTGTAATGAAGCTAAAACAGGGGTAATGTGGTCGTATTTAATAAACACCATAACTTCCACTCTACTGTCATCTCTCAGTGTAAAGTGACCCCACACAGCTGAAAAACCTTGGTGTTTCATTGTTAAAAAGGCAAAAAGTAAAATGAATCAAGCAAGATTAAAGATTCATCTGACAGTACTCAGGTTTCACACTTTTTTCTGCATAGATATTAATCAATGTACTGGGAGTTAACAAAATTAGAAGTTAATCAGGCTTTAAACGCTAAAATTTTGGCAGAAGGAGGAATTCTTGCTGGACAGCCAATGGGAAGGTTTAAAATATGCCCGCTACCACCCCCTTATTAGCATTTTGTGTTAACTAGTTAACTAGTCAGCATTTTTGCTTTCGCTAGTACTACTAGTAGATATTTTGAGCATCACTAGTTAACTAGTAAAGTAAAAAAAAAAAACAGTTCAACTAGTTAACTAGTGGGCATTTGGGCTTTCACTAGTTAACTAGTAAGGTTTAAAAGTTTTTACTAGTTAACTAGGAAGGTCTAAAAAAGCGTCAACTAGTTAACTAGTAGACATTTTAGCTCGTGCTTGTTAACTAGTATGACAATCTGCCTTACTAGTTAACTAGTAAGTTCCAACACGTGTCGGCTAGTTATCTAGTGGACATTCTGGGCTTCACTAGTTAACTAGTGAGAGTCAAAATGCTCACTAGTTAACTAGAGCAGAAAATTGCCATCCACTAGTTAACAGAATTTATGTTTGACTAGTTAACATGTTAAAGGTTTTGCTGCTCACTAGTTAACTAGTACGCCTTTGTGCTTTACCAGTTCAATCCAGATGGCCACTAGTTCGTCATAAAAACTAACTTGAGACTTTTGGTTAACTACTAGTTCGCAATTTTGTTGAGCTAGTTTGAATAAAAGTCTTACTAATAAGATGAAATAAATGCGTACTAGTAGGAGATTGAATAAATGATGTATACTTCCAGATTACAATCATTCTATACACATTCATAATACATTTTTAGCGGTCATTAAGTAGGCTACTCATTCAGAATAAGTACCTACTGAAGAGAGTATGCTATTTCAGACGCAGCCATACTATGCCATTCTGAACATACTGATTTCAGTTCTTGAGTTGTATAGCAGATTCTGCCATACTAGGTCAACTGTGTATCATACAGCCAGATTCTGAAGTGTGCATAGGCCTACAATGGACACTATCTCATGAGGCCACAGGAGAGGATTTGTGAATGGGAGTGAAGCGATGCAACTGACGCTGGTAGGTCACATGATGACAACATGGTGGATGTAGTACATGCAGATTACATTCATACTACACATATTCACCATACAGAACATAATTTATTAGTGGTCACAAAGTACTCAAGAGAGTATGCGATTTCGAACACAGCCGAACTAATTCGGACTGATTCAAAATGGATCATCAATAAGCTCTTAAAGGCATGGTTCACCCAAAATTAAAATTCTGTTTTCATTTTGATTTCAAACCTCCAACTGATATTCTTCTTTTGAACATAAGATATTTTTAAGAATGTTGGTAACCAGACCATTGTATTAAGAAAAAAAACATTCAGAAAGTCCCAATGAGATGAGGGTGAGATGGCTAAAGGATTACAGAACAGCGTGAATCAATTGCACAAACAGCCATATGTCAAGATAGTGTCTGAAGATCTAGTATGACCTAGCAGTTAGACAGTCAGTCTTACTTTTCGGTATCAAATTTGGCTAATGTATGTTTGGAAAAAACAAGTTATGAACAGTCTTCAAGAAATAAATTTAATGACTAATTTGTAAGACTATAGTCTTAGCAGTTTATGCAGCTGGCCCATTCGACTCAAAAGAACAATCTTTCAGGAATCGGACATCGAATCCACCAACAATCTCAATCAAATCTCAATAATATACTCCTAAATAATTGTAATAGAACAATGTCATAGCTATTGAACCGAAAATACAGTGAGGAGTTAAAATGGAATTACTTTTTTATACCAATCATATCTCTAACTCTTATGGTTATGCTAATTGCCTTTATCAGTTTATTATATTTATAAAAAAATAAATAAACACAATGGCCTGGTTTCAAAGACAGGGCTTAGATTAAGCCAGGATTTAGCCTTCATTTAATTATGACATTTAAGTAGCCTTCATAAATCTCAGAAAAAAAACATTACTGTTGCATCTTGAGACTTGAGCACTGATATTTTAAGATGTGTAAGTGCCAGTTGCTTTCAGTTATAACAGCTAACACAAGCATTTTAGTCTGGGACCACTCATCTCCGTGAAACTGAGGGAAAACTTGACAGGTTCCTGCTAAGTTTATTTATACTATTCATTCTCTTTTTTTTTTCTTTTTTCCATTCACTGAAAGAAACACATGCTTTTAATAGGATGCATGTTTAGATGAAGAAATGACACCCAGCATTATGTACACAACCTCTGAGGGCTTGATGTGCATTTTGTAATTATCAAAATCAAAAGAGCTCCATGTATCTGGAAAAAAAAAACATTGATCTATATAAAGCGAAAGAATCTTTGTTCATGACGTTACAGAAGTTCATCTCAGTTCTGCATTACTTGGGTGGGAAAAGAACATATCACCTATTAAACCAATGGTTAGATCGTGGCAAAAAACACTTTCCTTTCTAATCCTGATTATGGGTTCGAGCGGGTTCACACATGCTTTGTAATTTGGGAACATGAGTACTATCTGTACACAACAGTTCTTTGAAATAGGAGATCAGGCGGTGCAAGTTCAGTGTCTTTGAATGATGGAACAAGATTAGCATGACTCAGAATGCAGTAGACAAACTCTTGTGTCATGATTTGATATTATCCACTGCACTGTTGTACATGGCTGAATGAGTTTATGAATTGACAGAAATGATCAAAATTCATTTTTTATTTTATTTATGTGCACTGTAATCTTTAATCATAATAAGTTTCCCTCCCTCTTGCAGCAGAATCTCTCCTCTTCTCTGGGTCAACCTGTCAGTCACATGAGATCGACCAATTGCAAACCACAACCATCCAATCAATACCCAACAGAAAAATCAATTCCCGCTCTACATTTTTATTTAATTTGATAAGTCGTTTGACTACGATATATGTCACGACGGGAAGGAAAAGACTTGCATCTTACGTTTCATGCCGACTTCAAAAGAGCGTGGCTTTAAATTGCATGAGTATAAGATTTCCTTTTAGAGAACTGGTTATACTGGCAGTTTCTGTCTGTGTTAATTCAGTCCCTCCACAAACTTTGTAGCATAACTGTTACACTATGTCTCAACAAGGTGTGTCCACAATGAAAAAAAAAGAGGTTTCGCATTTGATGTTTAGTACACAGTCATGGAAAACGAAATTTGGATCAATGAATGTTCACAATGGGAGGGGCTTCTTTTTGCTCATCGTGGTTCCGACCATTTAGAATTTACATGGAAGAAATATGTTTTTTGCATCACTTCTTTATAGCACTCAGTGTTAGTGCCGTAATGCCCTGCTCGTTGTTAGATTATCCATGAACAAAATCTGTACAAAGTTCAGCAAAACGTTCTGCGTGTATAATTTGTAAAACAACCCACGATTGTTCGGATTGTCCTGCTGTTGAACAGCACAGAAAACACATTTAAGTGTAAGGCTGTTTTAATGAAAAGTCCTGTTGAAAATGTGTCCTGTTAACGCTTCTGTTTTGTCAGTCCGGTTAAATGGCATGAACATGAAGACGACAGAAAGTCTTCTCGTTGTCTTATAGAAGAAGCTCCAGCAGCTGGTTATCGTCCAGCAGGTCTAGAGATAGGCAGTTCGTGGAGCGCTGGACACAGAAAGTAGTTTTGTCTGGACATGGGCTGGTCGTGGTGTGTGGGAGCCCAAACGTGTAGCTGACGGAGGTGTCTGGAACTGATGCTGTTCCCAGCGGGAGAAGAGGGGTACACAGTCGCACATCGTCCAGGCTCAGACTACAGCGGTCGGCCGGGTTACGAGTCTTCTGATTCGAAACCTGCAATGGGTGATGAGAGCAATTGCTGTAGTGACATGATGAAAGAATGAATGAGAGAGATGGGAGAAGACAGAATACCTGTTTCATGCCGTCTGGGTCACAAAGGTCCATTTGGACGTCGCCTGTAACTGAACTCATTTGCAGACCTGGACACAGGAGTTACAGGATGAGATTTATATTCTTATCAAAGACTGCTGGCAAAGTATTGATTTAAAGTATGTACTACTAACAACTAAGTACGTCAAAAAGGGTAACTGAATTATACTTTAAGGCTTAAAGGAGTAGTTCACTTTTGAAAAAAACATTTGCTGATAATTTACTCACCCGCATGTCATCCAAGATATCCATGTCATTCTTTCTTCAGTCGAAAAGAAATTAAGGCTGTGTGTCCACCAAAGCGTTTTTAGCCAGCTGAAAACGCTAGATGCTCTGCTGAAGACGCTGTGCTTTGGGCACTTGAGAGCGTTTTGGCAGCGCAGCGTTTTTTTACGTCGAGACGTTCCATTGCTATGATACAGAATATCCGCAGCACAGTTTGAATGTTGTGACAGTTGGTCAGAGTGGTTTAGTCCCGCCCCTCCTCCACTGTGATTGGACGGCTGGGTAAAAAGTGACAGTGATGAGCGCTGCGATTTATCCAAAGTTGAAAATTTTTCAACTCTCGGCGACCAGTAAAAAACGCTGGGCGCTCGGCGCTTCAGCGTTTAAAAACGCTCAGCGCCTCGTTACGCTCATGGCGTTTAAAAAACGTGGCGCTCCCATTGAAAACAAATAAAAACATACGCCAGGCACGTGGAAAAACGCTTTGGTGGACACACGGCCTAAGGTTTTTGATGAAAACATACCAGGATTTTTCTCCATATAATGGACTTCAATGGGAACCAAACAGTTCAAGGTCAAAAAGACACTTTCAGTACAAACTGCAAACTGTTCAAAGGGCTTTTGAACAGTTTGCAGAAAAAATAAAAGAAAAGAAAAACAAATCTTTTTCTGAGTCATTTGGTTCATTCAATGAACCAAAACAAACAAATTGACTCAGAAAAAGATTCATTCATTTTGATAAACAAGTTCGAACAGGAGAGTCACAAACGCACATTACAGAACAGAGCAAGGTAAGCATTTGAGCTTATAAAACTTAAACTTTGTTATGTTTTTTTTAAATGATGATCGTTTCGATTGATAAGACCCTTATTCATCGTCTGGAATCATTTAAAGCCCTTTGAACAGTTTGTACTGAAACTGTCTTTTGGACCTTGAACCGTTTGGTTCCCATTGAAGTGCATTAAATGGAGAAAAATCCTGGAATGTTTTCATCAAAAACCTTAATTTTCTTTTCGACTGAAGAAAGAATGACATGGACATCTTGGATGACATGGGGTTGAGTAAATTATCGGCAAAAGTTTTTTCAAAAGTGAACTACTCCTTTAATGCACAGATCCGACATTTTAACACATTGATTTTTGGTCAAGTCACCATTTATATAGCGCTTTTAACAAAACAGGTTGTTTCAAAGTAGCTTTAGAGTGATAATAGGAAATTAATGGAACAGAGATTGTTTTGGTTTTACAGTAGCAAAAATAAAGTTATTGTCCAGCTAAAGTACGTTTTTTGATTGATGCACTTCAGTTGTTCAATTAGAGGCCGCTTACACGACACCGGTTTAACTGAAAACAGAAGTTGTACAAGCAAAATGTAAGGGTCTATACGATTTTTTAATTATTTAACAGACATGAATACATTAAAGTCGGCATGAAACAGAAGTTGAAATCGTCTTTTTTTTCCTTTTTGTGACGTATATCCAAGTGAAACGGTTTCTGAAATTAGAGAAAAATGTAGGGCGGGGATTGATTTCGTCCTTCGCGAATTGATTGGATCGTTGGAGGTTGGGCGTTGCAAACAAAATGGAGGCAGATTTGAATGCCAGTTTACATCATAGACAGCAAAAGAAAGGTTTACATTCAGTTTGAGAGGCGGTGCACCGATAGCCGCACCCTCATCATCTCTGGCCGCACCCTTTCGCCATTGCACGTGACCGAAAGAGAAGAGAGGTCATTTTAAGGGAGCAGGGAAGGGTAAAGAATTTGATTAAAGACTATAAGGGTACATGATTTTTTTTTTTAAATAATGAAGTGCACCGATAAATCGTTTATAATAAACACTACAATACTACATATAAAAAGAAGATTTGTCAAATTTGATTTCGTGCCGACTCTAACTTCATTAAATTAAGTGACAGTAAATACTTTTAATCTTTTTCAAATAAATTCTCAAATAATCCTGAAAAAATATATATCACGGCAATTTCCACAAAAACATTAAGCAGCACAACTGTTTTCAACATTGATAATAATAAGAAATGTTTCTTGGTCAATTAGTTTATATAAGTTTAGTGTGAGACATATATATATAAAAATTGTAACAACTCAAACCTTTGAACTGTAGTGTACATAACTGAAAGACAACAAACAGTGCTCCCTAAAATGATTTACACCATGCTACCAGTGGATCATAAAAGTATTGTTTCGTCCATCTTTTAGAGCGTCTGTTTACCAATTCAACCAATGAATAAATAAAGGATACTCCAAATAAATAAAATGTAATAAACTAAATAAATACATGAATTGCCTGATATAATATTTTATAAATAAAATTATACTAGAATTTTAATATCAATATATTATCATATAATTACATTAATCTTGCACTAATCACTCACTTGCCAGTAGTGCATGGACTCCATACATGATTTACAAATTTCCGATGTATTCGGAGCATACTTTGAAAACGAAGAGAAATGGAGTGAATCGGAATCAGATGGAATGATGTAGATCAGATGATCAGAAGTTAGCTTGGGTGTGTCGGATTTAGAACCCGCATGAAATTGAGTGTTTCTGAGGCATCACCTTTAAACTCTTTTTCTGATTGGATGGTAGGACAGTCGACAGACACGCCCTCCAGTAGCTCAGCCAGTCGCAAGATATCCACAGGGCCGTCCACAGAAACCTCCCCAGGCTCCTTCACTATCTCCTGCAAATCTATAGTCAGATTTCATCACAAACTGTCAGTCTAGCTTAAACTATGCTTAACCTAAAGATTTACAAACACTCTCACTGTCAGTGCGAAAGTGACATCTTAAGACTTGCATGCCAAGCTGGTTGAGCAAATAGACTAAATAACTTGAACAACATGTCGTTCCAGCATTATGTGAGGAATCCGTGCAATGTCCATCTGTCAGCAGACCATGTCAAATTGATGAGAGTGGCATTTTAATCTGTTGCAAAACACCCACAAAGTAGGGATGTGCCCAAAGCCGAAATACGAATTGTAAAATGTGTGGTCAGTAACGCTTACGCCCTATGCACAGAGTATGCGTGATCGTGAATTGGAAAGTCAAAAAAAAGTGAGTGGGCATTCAAAAGCAATTCCAATAACCCATATATTGATAGCGACTCCATGATATCACCAAATTATATACAATATAATAGACTGCCGAAGTTTTCACGTCACTCTGTAGGCCAAAACGCGGAAGTGAGTTAGCATTTTAGCACTCCCGTTTCCCTCGCTCTAAAGTCTATGGGTTTTTTGAATGGGTTTTTGCTAAGTCGCCTGAAATAAGGTCTGTGGTGAACAAAGCCTCGAAATATTTTCAAGTTTTGATCTATGACATAAAACACACAGATATAACCTGCTTGTGTTTTTTTTTTAACTTTATTGTGTCTGCTGGTGTTTTTTTAACTTTATATAGGCTTCAAAATGTATACATTTTGGATTAACTTGTAAAGATCATCTTGATAGACAAAACATGTAAGGGTCAAAACACTTGTTGAACACAGATCTTATTTTTAACACAGATCCAAAAGTCTATTGGGAATATGCATAGCTTTTCGTTTGAGGAAACCCATGTGCCGCTAGCTTCCGAGTTATCCTACAAAGTGACGTCATCACTTTGGCACTCTATTACTCAACTATATAATTGCGAGAAAACGCCATTGAACAAATTTAAATATATTTTTGTTCCTCTCATGGCATTTTTTTTTGTCACTTATCACTTGACCCTCACCTTCCTCCTGCCAGTCATCTTCATCAGTCCGAGGTTTGCTGCTTGTGTCGATCCCAGAGGAGCCGTGACTGATGGCAGAGATGAAAGACTTCTCCTTCTCCTCCATGGAAACCATCTCTACAGAGACGCTGCATTGCCTGGTGTCCGCCTCAATGCCAGAGCTGCTGGTGGAGTGTCGAGACAGACGGGGACTGCCCTCGCTGCACGGCTGATCCAGGTCTAGCTCATCACTGATGTACGATTCACGATACCTCTTCTTCTCTGCAATCCGAGAGGGAGAGAAAAAAAAAATCATCAATAACAATAGCACTGAAAGCAATTATCATTTCTCTGTCTTGTTATCGTTAAAGGGATACTCCACTTTTTTTTTGGAAATAGACTCATTTTACGACTCCCCCAGAGTTAAACAGTTGAGTTTTACCGTTTTCGAAATCATTCAGCAGATTTTCTGATATTTAGAAAAATATCAGTAACCAGGCAGTTTCTGGTCTCATTCACTTCCATATTAGGAAAAAAATATAAACTATAGAAGTCAATGAGACCAGAAACTGTCTGGTTAATGATATTTTTCTAAATATCAGAAAATCTGCTGAATGATTTCGAAAACGGTAAAACTCAACTGTTCAACTCTGGGGGAGTGGTAAAATTAGCCTATTTCCAAACAAAGTGGAGTATCCCTTTAAAGTTGTGGTGTGGACTCTGCAATTCTTTTATATTTAGAACTATTTTCAGAGCTATCTTTATCATTATTGTCGTCGGGCCATAATTAGTGAGAATAATATTGTGTGGACTGTGGACACACACCCTCTGTCTCCTCTAGCTGGCGCAGGTGTTTGAGCGCAGGTTGCAAGCTGAGATACAATCGGTGACAGGAACTCAGATGCAGCAACAGATGTCGAGAACGAAAAGCTGAACCGGTGTAGTACACCAGCTTCCTCGCCGAGGGCAAACCATCCGGCTGGATCTCAAACTTCTTTCCCTGTGCAGAGAGCAGAAGAGAGACCTTTTAGCATCAGAGCAGATGTTCAAGCACTACAATCCATAATAATGACATAATAATCAAACAATAGCATTAAATGTTACCAGAAAGGTGAGTCTTCCCACGTGAAACCAGGGGAAATCATACAGCAGATCACGCACATTGTTCACCTCCTGCAAAATAAAACAAAAACAAGGCCATCTGTCAAGTGAAATGGTATACTCTGAAGTAAGAAAATGAAATGATTCTGATTTCACTAAATTGTTCAGGTTCCTTTATGATTTCACTATTGATTATCTTAGTACTTTTTAAGTCTTTCTAAAGATTTAAAGGAGTAGTTCACTTTTGAAAACTTTTGATGATAATTTACTCACCCCATGCCATCCAAGATGTCCATGTCATTCTTTCTTCAGTCAAAAAGAAATTAAGTTTTTTGATGAAAACATTCCAGGATTTTCTCCATATAATGGACTTCACTGGCCTAAAAACAGTTTCAGTGCAAACTGCAAACTGTTCAAAGGGCTTTAAACGATTCCAGACGATGAATAAGGGTCTTATCAAGCGAAACGATCGATCATTTAAAAAAAAAAAAAGCTCAAATAAGCTCAAATGCTTGCCTTGCTCTGTTCTGTGATGCGCGTTCATGACTCTCCTGTTCGAACTCGTTCTTCAAAATGAATGAATCTATTTCCCGAGTCAATTCGTTCGTTTTGTTCGTTGAATGAACCGAATGACTCGGAAAAAGATTTGTTTATTTTGATGAACAAGTTCGAACAGGAGAGTCACAAACGTGCATCACAGAACAGAGCAAGGCAAACATTTGTGCTAATAAAACTTAAACTTTGTTATTTATTAATTAAATGAGCCATCCTTTTGCTTGATAAGACCCTTATTCATCATCTGGAATCATTTAAAGCCCTTTGAACAGTTTGCAGTTTGTACTGAAAGGACTTTGAACCGTTTGGACCCCATTGAAGTATATTATATGGAGAAAAATCCTGGAATGTTTTCATCAAAAACCTTCATTTCTTTTCGACTGAAGAAAGAATGACATGGATATCTTGGATGACATGGGGGTGAGTAAATTATCATCAAGTTTTTTTCGAAAGTGAACTACTCCTTTAGTACACATTAAGGGTTGAACGACTTCAGATATTAGTTAAATAGACATTTATCTGATTAAAGTTGAGTTGACCTCGACTAGTCACCGATGATGTCATTAATGAACAAATAAGTGTGGACTTTGAGCTCAGACTCGAACGCCTTGTGCACAGCTATGGCATATGACACATTGCTACAAGGCTTCCTCCTACATAATAGCTTATAACAGTTCTTTTGCCTTTGAGTTGTTATATTTCTCACCGATTTTGCTCATTTTAAGTCAGATACAGATAAAGTAGCACAGTAAAGATTATATGTATATGAATGCGTTAGTAAGAGAGCGATTGTGTGTGAATTAATTCTATCTTTCGACTAATAGTGAAGCTTTGGGTTTTAGTTACTAAGAAATATATGCTAGAACTTTTCAGTTTCTAAGCTATTTTATTAAGTCACAGAACAGTGTGGAAAATATGTTTCTGCGCTACTGAATGTTTCTAGTTCAGAAACTGTCACAGCTTAGCTACATGTGTGCGTTAAAATGCAGCAGCGGATTAGTTTAGAACGGCAAATAACTTAAGTGTAAAATAAGCTGATTAAAACGTGCATTCGCCCAATCAATTTTGAGCATCCAGATGGTATAATCAAACATATCTAGTATGCATTTATTTCTCATTTTAACTGTTGGAAACGGTGTGTAAAAGTTGACTTCAAATATTTATTATCCAGTTGTGCCCTCTATAGGGCATGATGAGTGACTAGCCATTGTCAAGCTTAAAGGAGTAGTTCGCTTTAAAAAAAAAAAAAAAACTTCCTGATAATTTACTCACCCCAATGTCATCCAAGATATCCATATCTTTCTTTCTTCAGTCAAAAAGAAATTAAGGTTTTTGATGAAAACATTCCAGGATTTTCTCCATATAATACACTTTACTGGTTACCAAACAGTTCAAGGTCCAAAAGAGAATTTCAGTGCAAACTGTTCAAAGGGCTTTAAACTATTCCAGACGATAAATTAGGGTCTTATCAAGCGAAACGATAACTCATTTAAAAAAAAAACAAAGTATAAGTTTTATAAGCTCAAATGGTCACCTTGCTCTGTTATGTGATGTGTGTTTGTGACCCGAGTCAATTCGTTTATTTCAGTACTTGAATGAACCAAATGACACGAAAAAAGATTTGTTCATTTTGATGAACGAGTTCGAACAGGAGAGTCACAAAAGGGCATCACAGAACCTCAAGGTGACCATTTGAGCTTATACAACTTAAACTTTGTTATTTAAAAAAAAAAAAAAGAGTGATTGTTTCGCTTGATAAGACTCTTATTCATCGTCTGGAATCGTTTAAAGCCCTTTGAACAGTTTGTAGTTTGAGCTGAAACTGTCTTTTGGACCTTGAACCGTTTGGTTCCCACTGAAGTGCATTATATGGAGAAAAATCCTGGAATGTTTTCATCAAAAACCTTAATTTCTTTTCGACTGAAGAAAGAATGACATGGAAATCTTGGATGACATGGGGGTGAGTACATTATCAGCAAGTTTTTTTCAAAAGTGAACTACTCCTTTAAAGCGTCACAAATCATGTCTATTCGACTAGTCTGTGCAACCCCAGTTCAAATAGCATTTTTACAGAATTTTATCATTTGTTATTCTATTACAAATAATTTCCTGACCATTCCAACAAAAAAAAAAGATTTGGTCCCAGCAGTTTTTTGAAAATTAAACTTTCAGACCAACAATGAGATCACCCAACCCTGCCACAAATAAACAAACATTTATACACTATCCTCCCACTATGAGATAAGTGTGTTCGATCATATGTAATACAGGCTTATTTGGCAGTGTGAGAGAGACGTTTAATATAAATCCTGTTTTTTTTTATCAAAGCAGAAGGGGAGCCCATTTAAAGTTGGGGTCAGGGCCTCAACACACTGGGTCTTTGATCTCTTAAACACAAGGCCCTTAGTTTAATCCAACCCCAGACGCTTTAGCAGGGAGATCAGAGGATTCAGGGGAAAGGCATGCACTCCAAATCCCTGTTTATGGACTCAACCGTCAAATATATGCATTCCAGTCAGGCCTATCTGGAGAGCTCCATCATTGTGATTGGCACCGGCTCAAAGAGAAAACACAGGACTGCAATGAATCACAGAATGATGCACAACAAAGCAGGGCATTCACATGTGTTTTGCAGCAAAAAGAGGTCCAATATTTTGGAACTATTTCACGTGAAGTGCAACAAACACTGCTGAAAAGTTTTTTTTGCACTGCTACCATTTATATACAGGTTGTTCCTCTGTTTTTAGTGGGAAGACTGTCAAATCAGAATGACATCTTATTTTTACTGTTAAAACATCTCATTTGTGGTCAGAAAGCTATGGCAATTTGTGCAGAAACGCAGAGGCAGTTAAATTCTAAATACAGCCTCTAAATAACCTTCAACAGTAAAATCATGTGAATGCTGCATAACGAACACACATAAGCGCCACATGAATGTACAAAAGCACACCTGATACACTTGCATTCCTCGGAGAGTCAGTCCAAGGAGTGCTGAGCCTTTCTCTTCTTTCTTGTCCTTCAGGAAAGAGACATAGGCTGATTAACATACTGTCTAATAAATGAATATATAGAATATTGAACAAACTATAAATATTATAAAATATCAATAATTTAACCACATATTAAAACTTGTTACTATTAAATATGAATAAAATTAGTCAAATTTACATAGTTATATATTATAATATAAAATAACAAATGTTCTGATATATTTATTGTATACTACTTTGATAGTTTAAAGTTTAGGGTCAGTAAGAATTTGTTTACATTTTTAATAGATTGTTTTAATTTTTAATAGAATTTTTTTTTATATTTGAAAATGTAATTTATTCCTGTGATTGCAAAGTTGAATTTTCAGCATCATTATTCCAGTCTTTAGTGTCACATGATCCTTTAGAAACTATTATAATATGCTGATCTGCTGCGCAAGAAACATTTCTTATTGTTATCAATTAAAAAAAATGTTGAGCTGCTTAATATTTTTATGGAAACCATGATAAAAGTAGTCATTTCTTCTTTTTTTTAATTTGAATAGTTGTTTAAGTTGAATAGTGTATGTATTTTCACAGTTCATAAAGTATAATTTATGCACCTTTAATTGCAAATTAAAAAATTTAATTTTAGGAATTGCAAAACCAATAACTGCTGTCAAACAGTTTTCCTCGTAGTTTTACATTGCTTGTTCTGCCCCAAGCTCACAAAACTTGAGATAATGTTGCAATATCACTCAAACAAGCACAATGCCATGCCATTCCATTGGTTCCACTAGTAGTACAAAAATGACGTCACTTTTAACCTCCACTTTGATGAAGATATTTTTCAAATCCTCCCTACATACCACAGCTGAGAAGGTCTTGACCTACAGCAAGCCATTCTGATAACCATGCATGACCTCTGACCTTCTGTAGGCGATAAAAGGTGACTGGGACATCCTCCAGACGGCAGGATTCTCTGATGAAGTGCAGGATAGCGTCACGAGAGGACATCCCCCACAGCTCTTTATGAACCTTGGGCCCGTGACACAGCAGGTAGTCAATGCCACGCTTCGCAATTATCTGTAAGAGATCAGAAACGGGTCAGGCGTGATTATGAAACGAGTGTGGGCTCTCACCATGCTTTATTAGTTTTACAAAAACTTTAATCAAACCCCTGCTGTGAAAAAACTACTTGATAAGTTTGGTGCTTTGGTGCCAGCATGGTCTTTCAGGTGAAGCTGGTTGTCCAAGAAAGTCTTGCTAGCTAAAATGTTTTTAATTAAGAAGCCTGGTGGGACATCACAGCATACCAGCATCCAAAAATATAACATATGCTTACTACACTTGAAAACAAAGTAAGCCCCACCTGCTTGAACGCAAATGTAAGTGATTGTACTTTATACACTCTAATGAAGGTTTACCCAGGGTGGAAAGTATTCTTTGGCCTGGAAATACATTGGGTGTCCGTGACTGAGGTGGTCAGAGCGTTCGGCCTGTAAGGCGTATCCCGCCAGCTGGAAATACACTTCCTCCTGCTGTCTACATTCTGAGCGCAGGACACGTTCCCGCAGGTCATAGTAGTACAGTTTTCTCGCTTTACGCTCACTGAGAACAAAAAATAAATAAAAAACACAATAACCAACTGAACATCAGACAATATTTTTTTTTTTTCTTCAAGATAACTGATAGTATGATGAATGTTATAATGTATATCATTCATATGCTTTTGCATGTTTAAAAAAAAACATATATAAGAGACGAAAATGCAGTAAAATCAAGCATCATACAGCATAAAAGGGGTTAGTATTTTGACAACATGGTAGAACCTTTTTTAAATTAGTCACATGAAATTTCTACTGATGGTCAGTAATGAATAAAAATACCACACTGAAACTGATAAAACACTAATATACACTACCATTCAACATTTTTGAAATAATTTAATACTTTTCTTCAGCTAGGATGATGATCAAAGTTGATCAAAAGTGACAATAAAGACATTTATGATGTTACAAAAGATTTCTAAGATATTTGGTACACTTAAAGGAGAACCTTTGGTCTAATAAAACATCGGTACCTAGTCGACCGTTCTCTGAGATTTGTTTTTATGATAATCGAATGTAAAGAGTTTTATCTCTAAAAACTGTTTAGCGGATAATGCTAGTAATGGGGGCATTTACTAATTAAAAGAAATTTGCTAGTTTATACCACTAACAAGGCTCAAAATAGCCCCACACTAACACAGTAACATAATGAGGGTCCCTACATGCAAAACGAAGCATTGAGAACTTTTATAAGAAGATACTTTATAAAGACAGTCCACTTCGTGTATACACACAGGAGAAAATAACTCGACAAGTCAAACCACGAACGCTGTTCATACAGTTTAGAAATTTGCTGAACTTCATACAGTTCGGCTCACTTATCGAGACTGTTTTCCAAAGATGGCTCCTGTCTGTAAACACGGAGTGAACTGTTTTTATAAAGTATCTTCTTATTAAACGGTCTGTACACTTACAAAGTTCTCAATGCTCCGTTTTGCATGCAGGGAGCCTCATTATGTGACTGTGTTAGTGTGGGGCTATTTTGAGCCTTGTTAGTGGTATTAACTAGTGATTTCTTTTGCCCCCATATAACGTTAGTAACGTTATACACTATACAGTTTTTAGAGATTAAACTCTTTACATTTGATTATCATGAAAACAAATCTCAGGGAACGGTCGACTAGGTACCAAGGTGTTATTAGACCAAAGGTTCATTTCGCGCCGGAGTTCTCCTTTAAACGGTAGTGCATTACAAGACAACAAATCTTCAGGAGAACCATCCCATGCAAGACTAAATATGACATGTTCAAATTATTTTAAAGAGGAATTTAATAAAAGACTATCCACACTGTCTTCAAAACCCTCCACGTTGTCATTTTCCACATGAAAAAAAAAACTGAAGCTAAATTCGGTTTCATTATGAGCAGTTTTCAATTACACCACACCCAAATGAGGGGGAAAACCTGCTCTACCCAAATAATAATAATAAAAAAGGCTTTCAAAGACAAACCGCATAAAAGCCAAGATCACAAGCCCACTCAAACTGGCCTCACCCCCTGGTGGATTAAACCTAATGAAGGAAAGAGGCCAAGGAGAGGGTTTCCTCCCTTTAAACGTTGGGGAATCTCTAAGCCTGTGTCTTACCAGATGAGTCTGCCATTCTCCACATAGTACTGGACCTTCAGACAGAGCAGGGGAGGGATTGACCTCCTCAGCGACCCCTGCCGAGAGAAAGAACAGGCTTGACTAGGTTACTGTGGCAACCCCCTCATTATGAAGTCACTCCCACATCCCGAATGGTTAACTAGTGTTTGTCTTTACTGTAACCGCCCTGATGACCACAGGGAACAAATGGTACAGTGATAATGTGATGGAAACAGATGGTAATATCACAGCACATTGATGAGCCAAGAACACTATGATACTACCAGGATTGTATTGCCATGGGAGCTGATACTTTCTGGTGGTTTTATAGTGATTTTGGTGTTAATAAGAGAGTGAATTCTGATGTCCATTTAGGAGCAGGACAGTGATATGCTCACCTTCCCTGAGTCCTGTTTCCACTCCTTGGGGAAATACTTGGCAAGTTTCTCTTCCAAGTCCAGAAAGATGTGCTCATTGTCTAAAACAGCCCCAGAAAGGACACACAGGAAACAAGGGTAAATGCTCTCGCCGTGCAAACAATGGCATCATGAATTCATGCATGAAATCTGCCCAACAATGACCTCAATTAGGGAGACGACTGGAATGAAAAGACCAGTTCAGCCATTGGTGAACGCACGGCCCGGTATGCAACAGCCGTAACCGCAGACAAAACTTGCCGCAGTAAAAACTAGCAGTCTCATGCCAAAGCAATCGCGATTGCAAAAGAATTCCAGCGCTTTGAGTAAATCGTGTAAACACTTCTAAAAGGGGGCTTGAGCAAGAATGGAATTAAGATGGTTCAAATAAATGTCACAATGGAAAAATGAAAGGAGATTTAGCTAAGACCAATGAATCAATGTTTTTTTTTGTTTGTTTTTTTTTCCCAAAGAGTTCAGAACCCACATTTCTAGGACATCCTTTTCATTCAAGTAGTCCGTGCGATTTATTCGATTTGCCAATGTGACCTCATTAGGAATGTGTACGTAAAAATCTAGCATAAATTTATATTTTAAATTTATATTTAATCATATACTAAATTTCAATTTGTTTCAATCAAATTTTCAATATATATTATTTATATAAAGAACATGTGGTATTAGTATTTGATATATTTGTAAAATAAGTAATTGTTGAATTAAAAAAAAGTTGGATTTTACAAGTAGGTTTCAAGTTAACATGAACTTATAACAAACTGCACTTCTTCAGGATTTTTTTAATCTTCAACATTTACTAATACAATATTAAAAATCAAACATTGTATTGGTTCATATTAGTAAATGTACTGTGAACTAACATGAACAAACAATTAACAGCTGGATTTTTATTAATTGACATAGATTAATAAATACAGTACCACATGTATTGCTCATGGTAAGTTCACATTGTCAAAATTATTACAGTTCACATGAATACGCGGAAGCGACAAAAATAAAAAAAATCTGTATTATGAATTTTTAAGGCCAGAGAAGTAATTTGTTGAGGTCCATTTATAAAGAAAGACTACACGCATATATTCCAACGGGCGTACCTATAGACTAAGCACTTTATATGCATGTGCACATTTGTAATAAATGATTATGAATATAATATAAATATATTATATTTTTAGTATAAATAATTATTTCAATTATAAATTACGAGAATTCAGAGCATCCGTGTTAAGTTTCACTAAAACAATGTCAATACATTGATATTGTATGTTTCCAAAATGTATGTGTACACAAAGACGAGTGAGCTCAAGTTCACATTCCATTTAGCTTATCCTTCATGACTGCTAACTTCACATCGCTAACTCCCTCGCCACATGAGTCAATCTCGTTCTGACTCATTGTCTCTCTAGCTGAGGTTCATCTCAACAAGTTTGTGACCCTGCTAAATGCTCAGCCAATCTCTATTGCTCTCTCCCGCTGCCTCTCTGCCCTGAACTGGTGAATCATGGTGAATTCCAGGCTTAAAGTTAATGTAGCTCAGGGGTCATCGGGTCTCAAATACACAAAAACAAAGACCCTCTTGTCTGAGAGGAGAGTGGCACAAAATCATAAAAAGGTATTCAAGAGAGATTTAATTTATATTTCCCTGGGAATAAAAGCAAGTTAGGGTGTTTAACCCGTCTGAAGACTGTCATTCAGGTGCATTATATCCATTGCTAGAATCGGCAACAAACAGAAACCATGTAAGCTTTCGCATTTGCATTTGAAAGCATTCAGTGAATTACTTTGGTTACAATTTCCATTCGCAGTATATACAATACAAATGCACATTTCTACAGAGACTAACATACATTTTAACTGGAAAGCATCAATCCTTACTTTTAACCACAGTCAATCCAAAGTAGTGCAGCTCTTTAACCCCGAGAAGCTCGCAGACACGTTGAAACACTTCTTGACCTGTTGCTTTCAGCTTGGAAGAAAAGAAAAACGGATTTGACAGTGAATCTTGTACAGAAACATTATTTTACATTTTACATAACATTACATTTTATATTCAGTGTATTAAAACAATATAAAGCAATATCAACATTCATAGTGCATAGGTCAATGACAGATTCACACGCAAACATGAGGAAGACATGATCCAAATCAAAATAAGAAGTATTACAAGAGCTTATTTACCACCACTGTGATGTCCAATGTCTCCTTGGTGGGAAGAAGGACGCACACTGTCCTCTCTTGTTTGGCAGGGACAGACATCTCATCCACGTACACACATGCATGCACACACACACACACGCACACACTTTTTATTGAAGATGCTTTGCTCTCACAGGTATTGGCTCCTTCATTTTGAATATCTGCAAAAGAACACAAACAAACGTAATAAGGGATTTGCTATACGGTATGTATGTATATATATATATATATATATATATATATATATATATATATATGGCTTGGATAGATATAGCAATGAAAGTCTATGGGATTTTTATGGCCATTTTATCATCTGCCAGGTGCCAATCATACGTTAGATTGCGTTAACAAGTAAAAGCACACCTATCATAAACAAACTGCCTGATTTGAAATATAAATCATGTCCAAAGCAGTAGCACTATAGACCTTATGTAGCCCCGCCCCTTTTCAGCGCTGCGCTCGTTGTCTTTTCACTTCCGGTCTGTATTTTCACAGCGATCTTGCATAGGTATGACTGAACTGCTCGTCGTCGACATTTGTTAAGACATCTGCTTTACAATGCTTATGATAAACATTACAATGCTCATGATAACTTTTGTTAACTCTACAATAAGTAAATCCACTTCATCAGCGAATTACCCCTCGACAGCGATGCCATAGAAATATACAGAACGACCGCGAAAACGGATATTCAAAGACAATATTCTGAAGATGACGGCGCCCACGTTTCTCTGGTGCATAAGGTCTATAACAAGCAAAATAAAACTAACAATAGGCTATAACTGAAGAATGACTAACTCTATTATGAAATATGTTCTTTTCTCATATTTTAAGACACAAAACAATTAAAATGTCTAGACTGTCCAGAAATGTTGATGGTGTCTGTGGTGGAATATGAGGTTTTGTCCTGCTCTCATATTCCATACAAACTTGACCCCCACTTCAGCCATGCAATAAAAGCTCATTACATTGCACAATCCACCCAGTCAAGTCAGATTATATAAACATGCAATTATGTAATAATTAAATTAACGCCAAACTTGTAAACAATGAGTCGCTGATCCTGTAGTAGTGAATATTATTGGGTGATGTTATCGTGTTTGTGGACCTTCACTTCTCCTGCTATAGTGAGTTCCACGGTGTAGATAAGCTCACCTGTGAAAACATTACAGGCCGCCACTGCATTCCTCGCATTATTTGGCAAATTCCACCTGTCTGAGTTTTTACTGAACCCAAAAACCTCAACATTGTGCTGCGGATACAAAATTAACCCTACAAAAACATTCGTCAATTTGCTCCCATTCTACAATGCTGCACGGTGACCCACAAAAATGTATTTAGACATTGAAGTCAAACTGAAATAGATGGCATATCCAACCAAATTCTCACACGTTTAAGTTCAAATATATCCTATATAGTATTAATGTATACTATATGTTCCAACTGTATACGTTATTCTCTCCATATTCAGTAGCCATTGACTGTTATTATGTGGTTTCTATCACACACTGGGTTTCCAGGGGCACGTCTTATATTCAGGTGATTCAGAGCATGACAGTCAAACCTGTGAATCAAGACACATAAACTAGGCTAGAGTAACTGTTAACCGCTACAACCTCCAGCTGCTAGTCTTGACTTCTTTAGTTTGATTCATGGATTTTGTCTCTTTCTATACATGGCATCCGTGGAAAAACAAACAAACAGATTTTAGTCTTTACTGAAAGTCAAATATAATGGAAGTACAGAAGACTTGATAAATGGATAGTTAACCCAAAAATGTTATTTATTTATACACCCTAATGTCAGTCCAAACCTGTTTGACATTTTCTTCTGTGGAACACTAAAGGAATGTTATAAGCAGAGGGACAGTCACCTTTTCTTTTATTTCTTCTTTTTCTTTTCCACACAATGACAGTGAATAATTTGTTCTGCCTTAAATCTCCTTTTGTGTTTCACAGTTAAAAACACTTTTGACTTACTGACAACAAACAAACAATAAACTAACTACACACCTCACTCTAATGATGTAATTTCTAGGTGTAATGAAGTAAAATATAAAAGAGACTGTAAATGAAGAGTTCAGATGCAAAAGCCTCTAAATGCCATTTGAAATTTTATTCTAAAATCACCATTTTTATCAAGTTTGTATATTTAAGTTCAGTAATTTCACTTAAATGACAATTAATAGGTAATCTTCATTGCCATTTAAGTGAAATTACTGAACTTAAATATACAAGCTTGATAAAAATGGTCATTTTAGAAGAAAATTTCAAATGGCATTTAGAGGCTTTTGCATCTGAACTCTTCAAATGTATAGATCGTCCAGGACTCCATGCCAACGTGTAATTTTGGAATTGTTTTAATCCAATAAAAAGCATATCTCTCCCTTGAGTTAGTTCAAAATTGACTACATAATTTACTTTGCCACCTTAACAAAAAAAGTTGCCACCAAAGCACGTTTAAACAGTAGACAGCTGATCCTTTTGCGCCACGTTCTGATTTGTAACTTCATGAAACATTAGCTTGTATTAAGATCTCTGGTATGGTGGGTAGGGACAGTGTCGAGACCAGTCGGACACTGTTTTACAGCTACAGTGTGTCAAAGAATAGGAGCACAACTGAAACAGCACTGGAAGATTATCAACCAGGATATATTACTTGTTATTATGTACTTATTTCTATTGCTTTATTCTGTTGTGTTGTTTACACATGTAAGTCATTTTTAAGTTCAGTATAACACTCAGATCACTTGTTTGGAGAGGTTTTTGGACTTTTTATAAAAAGACTACCGTAGTTCCAATCCCCCCAAAAAACTGTGAACAGGCCCTCACTTGATTTTTTTGTAATAGTCATCATGTCAAGCATGAATAATAACAAAATATATCAATACATTGCATCACTTTGTCTGGGGTTTTCTCAGCAGTGTTGTAACATGAGACCCTCCAAACATAATCAAAATCTATTTTCTTCACAAGTTGAAAGGTTTTCTATTAAGTATATCATACCACCATGTATTTGATGTAATAAGCTCCGGATTGGAGCATCCCTATGCTGGACTTTTAACCATAATGTAACTATGAAAGTTATGAATTCATACGTTTGTTGGATGACATACTGTATGCTGCAAAAAAATGATGTTCTTACTGAACAGTTAACTTTGGAGACATTTTAGAATCAGATCAAATACAAAAACAATGTCACAAAAACAATGTTGTATACATCCCACAAAACCAAATGTCTACGTCTGAATGGTATCAAACCCAGGAACATCAAAAGCTGTAAGCACTGGCCTTGAAACAAACTTAAAACCATCTGGGGCATTGTTGAGCCCTGGTATATTAACATCAGCACCAAACATTGTCAAAATGCCACTAATTTGAGAGGGTTTGCTAGTAAACACGTCTTCTGCCAAAGATTCAGTTGGTACCAATTCTCTACTGGGTGGGATTTATGGGGGTTTATCTTTAAATCAATTAATCAGATTAAATTTGGCCTGTCTCGAGACCTCTGCTCTGGGCCAGTCTAGATCTGAGTGTGCAAATGCAAGACCTCTTAAAGGAACAGGTCATCTATTTAACCTCATGTTGTTGCTAAACAGGGATATTATTGTTAACTAATTAAACATAAAACTAATTATATATATATATATATATATATATATTCATTAATTGAAATACAGCTATTAGAAAAAAACTTTATTAATAAATAAAGAGTTAGAGTTCAATAAAGATAAATAGAGTTTAAGTTTAAGCTCAAATTACCAACTGGAAATAAATAAATAAAATTAAACAAAAAAAGAAAAGAAAATTAAATAACAACGTAACAAATGTAATAAAAAAAAATCTAAATCCAAATATTAATACAAACTATAATAGTATATGAATCAAACCTAAAATAACAGTTCCAAAAAACTGCGGGGAAAGAAATACTGTAAAAATGCTCCATTAAATTGATTAGGCAAACTGGAAATATGGTGAAAAACTGTAAATAGTTTTAAAAAATCACAAATTATGTGTGATTTTACAATAAAAAGTTGTCCGTTTATGGCTTTTGCAAATAAAAACTATAATTTATGGTTAAAAAAAAAAAACACATTTCCCCAAAGTCCCTGTATTACACATCACATATTACATTTTTATAAATACTTCTGTCCTTTCTTGGTTTTGTAATCAGTTGCGTACATTAGTGTTTTGTGTTATATTCAGTTATTTCATTTTTTTTTATTCATTTATTCTAGTGTCATGTGTGTTACCCTGATGGTGTTTGGTCTGTATGATCCTGTATTTACTGTGTTTTATGAACAGGCTGCTCACAATGAACTCTGATTAGCATGTGGCTTTCTATTGTGCCACCTGTATTATTGTGATGCTTTTTTATTATTGTGGGCAGATTTTGGTTAGATTAGCTACATAATATCAATAAAGGAAATCTGCTGTTATATGTTGTACAATATGCAGGTAAAACTGGAAACATTGACACTTTATTTTTACAGTGAATTTCTGGCACAGCAACCAGTTTTTACCGTAAATTGGAACAGGATATTTTTTACAGCGTCCCTTTCATACAAGTAACACAATTATAAAGACTGTGCTTGTCACTGTTCAATTCAATAACAAGCTTCAGTTTCAATCCTCAAAAAAGAATGCATTCGATTCAGTATCACATCAACAATCACATCAATATACCTGCAAATGACTGCGATTTCAGCAATCATCATTAGGCTATATGTGTATGATGACACCTACAGTATACAGTGGTGCAGGTATAACGTCTTTGTAGGCCAAACAAGTTCCGGTTCCATCATCCCAAAGTCAATGTTTTTTTTAAAAAAATGGGATTTTGGTAGCCTGGCTAACGCCAGACCCAATTCTCGTTCAGCGTGAATTAAATCACACTGCGGTAAGGCAGTATGGGGAAACCCAGACTAGGATTTTGGATAAATGGCTGAAATAAAGTTTGTGGTGAACACAAGCTCAAGACACGGTAACACTTTAGAATACGGTTCCTTTGTCAATGAATAACTACACAAGAACCAATGAGTAACACAATATTAACAATCTAGTATTATTAACTAACAAGAAACTCTGATTAACGAACTAATAAGTAATAGCGCACAGATGAAAGTGGTAGTTCACTATTAACTAATCAATAACTTCTATTTTTTTAATACTTCCCAGAGAACTACTGAAAAGGTTTATTAATAATCTAGTAACTACTATTAACTAAAAGAAACTCTTATTAATGAATTAGTAAGTAATAGCTCACAGATGAAAGTGTTACTAGATACTTCTGTGGGAGTTACTAATTATTTGGATTCGTATTATAAAGTGAAGATCATTGGAACTAACTAGTAATTACTTAAGTGTTACTACATGATCTAGTCATGATTTGTGCAAAAGTTTGAGATTTTTGGTGAAATTTAGTATACTTTTAGAAAATGTCTTTAGTAACACTTGAGTAATTACTAGTTAGTTCCAATGATCTTCACTAATTACCAAATAATTAGTAATTCCCACAGAAGCATCTAGTAACACTTTCATCTGTGAGCTATTACTTACTAATTCATTAATAAGAGTTTCTTTTAGTTAATAGTAGTTACTAGATTGTTAATACAATTTTTCAGTAGTTCTCTGGGAAGTATTAAAAAAATAGTAGTTATTCATTACTTAATAGTGAACTACCACTTTCGTCTGTGAGCTATTACTTACTAGTTCATTAATCAGAGTTTCTTGTTAGTTAATAATAGTTACTAGATAGTTAATATTGTGTTACTCATTGGTTCTTGTGTAGTTATTCATTAACAACAGAACCGTATTCTAAAGTGTTACCCAAGACACTTTAACGTTTTATTCTAGAACATAAATAACATCGGTATTACCCACTCGTGATTTTTTGAAGCTGTAACGTGTCTTGAAAAAGGCAGTTACTAACAAGTGGCTACATGGGACTACAGAGGCAGTCAGGAAAATTAAATTAATAGAATTAAAATTCTATTAGTACAGAAGATAATAAAATGCAATCAGCATGCGCTAGTGGTAAACAAAAAGAGCGAGATGAATCACTGGCAATTGTGCTTTAGTGTGCTAAAAAAAAAGAGGAGGACGTAAAAGAGGAGGACATGGATGCCGTCCTGGTTTGGGAAATGTTAGTTAGTAAATGCACTGTAAAAATATTTTCAAGATTTGTTATGACAACATATTTTATTTTGTCACATCAACTTTATAATAATTTATTTAGTTGAGATAACATATAATTTTGAGTTTCTGATGGTTAAATTAATCTCCTTCATTACATTAACTCACTTTTTCCAGTTCAATGAACTTAGAATTTTAAGGCAACCAGGTTACTTACTTTTTTAAGTTAAACCAACAATATTTTTTACAGAGTTTTAGTGGCATGTTTTGTTGATCAGTACATCATTTCATGTTGCAGTTTTTTTGGCTAGTCAGTAGACATAGCAGCAAACACATTGTAAGGTCATCATGCTAACTTTCTGAAATGCTAAAAATTGCCGCAGGATATCGTTGGTAGCAAGACCGTGACAACGGCCGTCTATGAACCTCTCTCACTGTATGACGCAGATCCACTGTTTAGGAGCCAGGACCACAGAAATCACCACGATTGGTCATATTTCGTCTGGGAGAGAACAAAATCGTACAATGTGTACTGGGCATCAAGCATCGCCTTTTTAGGGCCCCCTTAAACGTCGGTAGATGAGGTTATGGGATCCTAACTCTACCCCAGACCTAAACCTAACCCTAAACCTAACCTGTCACCTAACTGACGTTAAAGGTAAAGCGTCAGTTGTATGACGGTCCGGGATCGCCATCTACCGACGTTTAAGGGTACCCTAAAAAGGCGAATATTGACGTATGGTCAAAAGACGTCCCAAAACGTCAGTTATATGACTTTTTGGGATGAGAATGTGTTGGTTTGATCAAGGATGGAAGTGAACTTTGCAGGAAGGTAGATCTGCAGGAATTGGGCACCCTGAACTAAAGCATCAACTTTGTGTGGGAATTGGGAAACAGAATGAAATTTAAGTCAGGTAACCACTGTGTGATCAAATAATTGAATCCGCTGAAATGAAGAACCGGTAAAAGTTTATTATACAGTGTCCTGTCTGTACTTACCATAGTAATAACAGTAAATGATGCATACTTACATGTAATCAAAATACTAATCCTACCATAACCCTATAAGTACATGTAGTTGCTTTATAATACTCAGTAAATATATAATTACACTGACACAACTGATAAAGAGTAACCAAGGAACCGCATCAGTCAATTTGTGAAGAAATCATTCCGACTGATTTTGTGAACCAGATAAAATCAATTCAAAAGATTCCTTGTGTAAATTCCTACGTCTTCCATGAACTAACATCAAGAAATAAGTTATCGTAAGCTATCGTAACAGCAACCAACCAAATCACAGGTTTGATTCACGATACTTCGGCATCGGTTTTGAAGCTTGAGCTTTGGTTTACGTTTATAGCATTTGCAGGAAAAAGGGCATGGAAAATTCTTTACAATGTCTCCTTTTGTGTTCGAACATGTGGAACAACAGTGTGAATAAATGATGAAAAAAATATTAGAGTAAATACATGCATTTTCTCTCAATTTGATTCGTTTTGTTTATATAGAACTGAATGTTTAGAGTAGCTGAATATTGTCACACTATAAACACCAAACTTTTAGACGTGCACATGCTCTCTGAGAACAACAGCTGTAAATCAATCTTCAAGTGTGCATTTTTTCAGACTGGAAAAGTCACACTCTGTAAGCACTGATAAAGGAGGATCACTTGAGCCTCAAAGCAAGAATAAATCTTCAGCACAACCACGCTGTTCCAAAAACATAACAGACTTCCCCTGTTGTGTCTCTGAACACCTCTGAAGAATTATTTGTCAATTACAGAACAATTCCAGAGAAAACAGATGCAGATAAGCCTTGGGGTAACAGGTTGCGCTGCATGATGAGCTCGTTTGACAAGGAATAAATGGAGACCAGTTATGGTGTATTTGAGCAATTGCAACAGGCACTTCAAGCGAAATGAAGTTATTGCCCAATGGCAATCACAAGGCTTTAACAACTACTAGGATCCAAGGACCAGTCAAAAGCCGGTTTTTACCCACCTGGCTCTGGGAAGAAAAAAAAAATCACTCATCTAGTCATACCATCATACCTCTCTGCCCGTTGAATGTGCATTCGTGTTTAGACTTGTCAGAGGGTGAGTCTGTTATATCCGCAATTAAATTCCAACCTGCTTTCCTTTCTGAACCGTTCACACAACAACAAAAGTTCATTCAAATGCATTTGATGATATATATATATATATATATTTCCCCCATCTATGAACCATATTTAGTCTTGTGCATTAAAACCAGCTCAATGTCTGCACTAGAGTCCTCATACACCACAGTCTCACCATTTATATGAAAAAACATGCTGTGCAACTTGATGGGTGGGAAAGTAACTGCAAGTTTCAAAATTACTTTCAGAAACACAGAAATCAGTACAACTTCCAGATTTAGAAAAACAGAATGATATATAAAATGAAAAGTTAACCAAAGGTTCTGTACAACTTACAAACAACAGTGGAGTGGTCTCTATGGAAAGTTCAACTTTAAAGTTCATAATAGAGAAAAATGCTCAATATTTACAAAAAAAATGATCAGAAAATTAATTTTATGACATGGTGTTTGATAATAAATAAGATTAAGAAGTATTAATATAGCCTATTTGTAAAAACAAAACAAAAAAACAAATCAATAACACAATATTTTGCAATAACATATAAATTCAACTTTAATGACTATTAAGGAAAAGAAAAGAAAAAATAATATGTGAAACACGACCAGAAAATAAGGACTCGTTGTGGAATAACGTCACTTAAGAAATATTGAATATTGCAGAAATTAATTAATTAAAAAAAATAATTAAAGTAGTCTATATATAAACTTAAATATACGTACTAGTAGACTTTCAAATACAAAACAATGCTTTTAGAAGATGTGGGAAAAACACTTACCTCGTATTAAAATCCCGAGTGTTTGTTTGTTTTGAGGGCTGATGCTGTTATAGTAGAACTCACATAAACACACGCGCGAGCTCACTGACTGACTGACTGATGAGATAATCGGAGCAGTAGATCGGACTAAACCAAACCACCACTGCGAGGGGGGTGGTTTCATTATACCACGCGAACAACTAATACATACATCACTACTCTTTTAAATACGTGCCATTTTTTCGTCGAAAACAATCAATGCACGATAAAAACTCAATAGCAAAAGAAACATGTAAAACTCTGATTGTCTGTGGTGATTACCTAGAACACAAAATCCCCCTCCCCCATTCATGAATATGTATGACCATCCTTTAAATTGATACACAACAATACTCTTATGTGGGAATTTGTAACTGTATCTTTCAATGCTTTTTTGCTGTTCTAATGGAAGAATGCATTTTAAAGTGTGAAATGTATTAATTAGCCTACTCTTGGTTTCACTACGAGCGATTTTATTATGCGTGAAGACCTTTTTTTTTTTTTACAGTCTATGTAGACCCTTGTAAAACCAGTGTAGTTGTGCGGAACTACAAAAATTCACAATGGAAGCTAAAGTTTTCCCCGAAATAATAATAAAAAAGTAAATTGATAATTTTTGTTTTTTTATTCAGTAAAACTGCGCAAGGTGTTATTTAGACACCATTGTCAAACAAACAAACAAACAAACAAACAAACAAACACAATTAATATGGATCATTAAAACTTTCTTTTTATGAATATAAAACAAGGATATTAAACCTACCACAATCATAACAAATAAATAAACAATAACAAAGATAATTGGACATTTAAAAATAAAAAATACAATAAGATCCTGAAACTATCCGTAATATTTTCAAACAAACTGACAAGATTCTGTAACTTTAGATTGCTTGAAGGAGACCCTATTTTATGATTTTACAATAGTAACAATATCTGCAGCAAATGCATTATTTTGTAATAATTTGTATGGTTATTTTTTTTTTATTTAGAGTCAGTGAAATATTGTGAGAGTGCAGAGCATGATTTAACCATACCTACATGTGCAAATAGTGCAGAAACAGGAGATTGCCCTCACAAATTTGCCAGCCTCCTTATTCTTTACTTCTGCAAATTTCCACTTATTTGGGCAATAACATTCAAACTGCCTGGGACAGATTAAATCCAAAACAAGCAGATTACTAAATCAATATCAGCATCAAGCTGTCGGAGATTACATTAGCCTAATTCAGGGCTAACATTAACATTATTATCCATCCAAACATTTGATCATACTGCAGAAAAATGAATCGAACAGTCAAATCAAAGATTTCAATTACAGTGATTGACATTTCGGCAAGAAAATAGGAGTTTAATATGAGCTGTGCTGAATGTGTTTGTGTGTGGGGTAATTAGGGGTCTGTTAGAGGTCACGACAGGCTGTTAGGGATTATTCTCTGCATTCATTGTGCAAAAAAGCTGTCCGCTGTCTGGACCATTTCAGCCTCTTAAGAGTCTTCAAGAAAAAAGCAGTGTGCTGACCCCTGCTCTGATCACACTCACATGACCTTCAATCTCTGACTTTCTCTCTGCCCAGGTCATCTCCCACTGTTCCCTCTGTTTCCCGACCGCATGACATCATCCCGCAGCACCGTCCAGCCCTCGGAGAGGGAGTCCTATGAACTGGGGGTGGTGCTGCTCAACAGTAGGCTATGCTTTCATTCAAGGTCTTTAAGGTTTCCATGGTGACCCCCACATTCCAAAGATCAGCTGGTTTCAAGAGGCCTAGAGCTAAATAGAGGAATTTACATTACACAGGATCATTCTTAATCACTAATTATGATGTTTCTGGCAATTAAGCTCTACATTTTATTTTAAAAGTACTAGGGCTATCATTACGCTGTACTTTCATTACTTTTATTTCAGCTAAGGCAACATTTCTCATTTTCCTTCAGTTTAACTTTGAATAAAACTGAAAATACAGTAGGCTACAAACTATATGGTAGAGTGGGGGGAAATGCCCCCCTGGGGTAAAACGCCCCCCAAAATAACCACTAGAATGAATCAAGATACATTTTTACTATTGCTATGCACTACGTTGACAACGGGGATATAGAAATCTCCATGGAGAAGCTGACACCAGCGACGTATTTGAAGAGAAGAGGATTACATGGAAAGTGCTATAATTTTCAGATATTAGTAAACAAATGTTTAATAGAACATTGTTCATAGTGATATCACAGTGATATATGATAGATTAATGGTGAAGTCTGTAGTTTGAGAGCATATGTTATTTATTGGGAATATAATTATATTTTTTAAAATAAACAATTTTTTTAAAAAGACATAGCTTGTGGGGTAAAACGCCCCCTATGCTGAGGGGTAAAACGCCCCCCAAGGGGCATAGTTTCTCTTTATCGTAATTACTATAGTAACATATTTCTGTTCATCAAAGTCTTTATTTTACACTTTAATGCAGTATAACTAGATGGTAAAATCAAGATATTCGAACAAAACATGAAAAAATTACCCCAAGTGAGCATTATCTAGCTAGCCTTGTGGATGCAATGATGTGAGGTGGTTAGGTGACCCAATAATAAAACATAGTGACTTTTAATGCATTTTTGGAATATATTTCACTGTAAATATACTAATTTATGTTTAATATTTATTTAGGGTTTCCTGTTTTTCTTGATGATAGTGGTGAACAAATACTACATCAATTATCAACCCCATATAGGCCTAGTGTAGAAATCAAAATATTAAAATGTTAGAAATTTGGCTATTTTGTGCATTCCTGAAATAAATAATAGGTATATATATACACATGTTGTTGCATTACTTGCCTTTTACTTTTAGAGATTAAAAACTATGTTCATTTTGCTGTTGATTTATGAAGCAAACTGGTTGGTAAGAAAGGGGACATTTTACCCCACCTTGGGGGGCGTTTTACCCCACCGCTGGGGCAAAACGCCCCCTTTGTACAAAAATATTTTCAGTCAAAAAAATAAATTATGAAGGTTGAGCAATTTTAATATTTGGTAAATAACTCCTGCCATAGTCACTCAGAACTGGGATGGTAATTCTAGTCACATTTATGTTTTGTTTCACAATAATGTCACATTTTCCTTAAGGGGGGCGTTTCCCCCACTCTACCCTATATAAACTTTAAAAAGAATAAAAAAAACTAAAGTTAAAATGTATAACGTCATATAAAAGTAAAATAAACAAATAAAAATATGAATAAAACCTATAATAGTATCTCTACTAATAAAATAACTGCAGAGTAAAGATGTAAATGGTGTCACGGACGGTGTTCTCTTACGGTATTCTGAGATTAAGTGAACACTGCCATCTAGAGAACAAAATGACCAATGACACTTTACAACTCTTTTTCATAAAATGACAATTAACTGTGCCTTCAATCTCCAAAATAGAAACAAAACAAAACAAAATAAATAAATAAATAAAATAAAAAAATAAAAGTAGACTACTATATTAGTGGTTTGTTTACATGTTTTCTGAAGCCATTATTAATAATCACCACCATTCACTGAACAAAGTTTTATTTGCCATTTGTACCAGAACACGTAGTAAAACACTGTAAAAATAAATAAATAAATAAATAAATAAAAAAAAATTAAAAATCATGATTTGTAATCACATTTTTTTTTTTTTGTCAAATAAACTTAATATCAACATAATATTTTGTGTTTCTGGTTAATCTCCTTCATTGTATTAACTCAATTTTTCCACTACAATGAACTTAAAATTTTAAGGCAACCGGGTTACTTATTTTTTTAAGTTAAACCAACAATATTTTTTTACAGTGTTTGTAGCAAAGCTTGTTGGATCAACATTAAATTGTAAAAAAAAAGATCAAGATTTGTTATCACAACATTTTTTCTTTTGTCAAATCAGCTTAAATAATCTATTTAGTTAAGATTACTTATTATTTTGAGTTTCTGATGATTAAATCAATGTCCTTCATTGCATTAACTCACTTTTTCTAGTTCAATCAACTTAAAATTAAGGCAACCAGGTTACTTACTTTTTTTAAGTTAAACCAACAATATTTTTTACAGTGTAACAAAACTACACACAATAAATATTCTTTGAAAAGTAAATCAAGATCAATATAAATCTACAACAAACAAACACAATAAAGATTATTACCTCAATATAAGAGTATTGCACTGTCCTGAGATAATTCATGATATAAATATTTTAAAAATAATGTCTATTTTATTTATTTTTAGTTATCCTTTATTTTACAGGGATAGTCCCACTGTCTGAGATAAAAATCTCTTCTTCCTGGGAGTCCTGGCCAGAATGGCAGCACGAAAAGTTTCACATATATAATATACAAACATAAAAATCTTTACTCAGCATTCATAATAATAAAAAACTATAATACACCGTTCTCTGTTTAACAGAGACAGATTCAAAAACACATCACAGGCATAAACTCCTTTTTAGGAAGGAATTCTTCCAAAAATCCATGATTAATTCCTTTTTTTGTCTATATTAAGAATACGATCATTGTCCTCTCCATAAGCCAGAATTTTATCAAACAGCTCCCTGTAATCAGTTTCATTCCCACCTTTAAGAAGGCCCAAGACAGTTGTATCATCAGCGTATTTAATAATTGTGTTGTTCTGGGTAGTGGCACAGTCATAGGTAGAGTGAAGCTTTTGGGACTGAGACAACAGGCCTGTGGTGTTCCTGTGCTTATATAGTGAGCTCAGCAGAGAAGTTCCCATCCTCACCTATTAATAAGAAACTCCGAAACCCAGTTACAGGTGGTGGTTGGGAACTTGGGACCCCGAGGTCTACCAGCTTCTCAATTATAGCTTTCCAGGTTGGATGGTGTTGAAAGCAGACTTATAATCCAAGAAAGCATTTGTGTGTTCTACTCCAGTCCAGGTTTTTTGCAAAGCCATGGCCATTGCATCGTCCACTGATCTATTAAGGTGGTAAGCAAACTGTAAAGGGGTCAACGGTGTCTGAAACCACAGAGTTCATATGTTTAAGTACAAGTGTCTCTAGGCACTTCATGGGAACTGATGTAAGTGCAACTGGCCTGAAATCAGGCTAGGTGGATGTGTCTGTTTTCTTGGGGACTGGTATAATAATAGACGACTTAAAAGTGTGGTAGGCTACTACTCCATGTGTAAAAGACCAATTAAAGGTGTCTGTGTACTCACCTGCCAGTTGTTCCCACAGAACTTCAAAACGTTTGGCGATACACCATCAGGTCCCACTGACTTACGGGTGTTTACCTTCTTAAAAACCTGTTGAACCTGCATGCGCACAGTCCTGTGTTAAAAAAAAAAAGGAGGAGGAATTTTTGAGGGAGTGTCTAATCTGTCAAATTGTGCATAAAAAACATTCATGTTCACATTAAAACAAGGTATTAATGGCTTGATGTCCAGTGCGACAAAAACATCCAGTAAACAACCTAGATTAGATTAACTAATTCAGCCCCTGTTGGTAATCTTAAGACCTGTATTTAATTCTTAGGTTTCTTTGAACAGAAAATATTAGATATCAGATCTCACCTCTCTCCTTCTGACATGGCTCCGATCTCTCCGTTTTATGATCAGTAGGATAATCTCTCTTTTTAGTTATGAGAGAAAACCATATTCATCAGCAGTCGCATATCCAAAGCACCGACCAAAACAATGTTCTTCCGCAAAATGCTTGCAGTTGTTTTGTTTGAGGGCCAAAAGTTATGTTGTATTTTTACATTACCTTAATATAAAGAGGGATTCAATGGGAGAAATAAAGTCATATTTGTGAGATATGAGGGTACGAGCTTCCCATTCTTTTGAACTACTGTATTCTTTTAAAACAAATACAGTAACAGGTGTGATCCATGAAAACAAACCTTCTATTCAAAGAGGACAAAAACATTTATTGCGAATACATTTAATGAAATGTGTAGTCAATGTTACAAAACTATTTTAACAAAAACAGGAAAAATTCAATGTTTGTTTGTTTTTGTTTTTTTTCCACACAAGCATCAAATTAACTCCTCTACAGGAAACCGTACATAAATACTTTCCCCAAATTGTGATCCGATTACTAGGATTTGTGCTGTTTTAAACTGGCTAACCTTCTATCCCACACACCTGGCCCACTGTTAATAAGTTACCTGTACCCCTTGAAATAAAAAGAAAATGCTAGCATGCCAAGCGTGTGTTTCCTCCACCCAACGCCAGGCTGGGTTGATAGATTGTGCATGAGAATGCAATGGGCACCAGAGACATAGTATAAAACCGTCACACGGTCCAAGGGTGCTTCATTTCAGCTACAATCACGTTCGTCCAGGTCCAGGAAGCCTTTGACATTAAAAAAAGGTTTGTAAAAAAATGTGTAGTCAAATGGCAATTTCTTAATAGAAAACAATGTTTTATGCAGTTCAGATGCCAGCCAACCCTAGATGCCAGAATGTTCAAGTGAACGTGCATTCACCATGAAGATGACCTGGATCTCCATCCCGAATAAATAGTTCATCCTTTTTTAGCAGCTACATTTCCAGTTCAGCATAAGAAAGTTTAATAGAACGAATTGTTAAACGAAAATGGTACGTAAATTAACGTTGTACATAAATAACACTGAACAAAAATACCATAAAGAGGTTTGATTTTCCTAATAATGAATAAAACATATTATATATTCATACATAATAGAATTATAAAAAAAAAAATTGCAGTAGAAAAATAAAAATGATAAATTCCACATTCACAACAGACTAAATAGAAATAAAATCAACAAGAAAAATAACACTGATATATTATGCTCTACCTCCAAGAGCATACTTAAAACCGTGAGGAAAAAAATAACCAGAAATATGTCCGTTTGCAGTGAGGTATTCGCTTCCGATCTAGCGAGGTTACTGAAAGAACTTGAGCCCTGCCACAAGGAAGAACTTTTCCAGGAAAATCTCAGAGTCCAGGACGGCGATGTGGGCTGCCCGGCCAATCAGGGAGTTGGCGGTGTTGGGCAGCGCATGGATGACATCGTAACGCACCAGGTTACAGTCTTTGTTCTGAAGCACAGGGAGTAGAAGGTTCTCGATCATCTCGGCATACACTGGACCTGATCGCACAAGTAGAAGGAGAGTTCAAAAGTTTGAGGATGTTAAGGTTTTTAAAATGACTTTAAAAGAAATCCTTTAAGCTCACCAAGCCTTCATTTCTTTGATAAAAAAAAAACAAAACAAAACCCAGCAAGACAGGATTTTTTTTTTGTGAAATATTAATAAAAAATCAAATAATTGTTCTATTTTAAACAAATTTTTAAAATGTAATTTATATCTGTGATGTCAAAGCTGAACTTTCAGCATCATTACTCCAGTCTGCAGTGTCACATGATCCCACAGAAATCATAATAATATGCTGATTTGGAGCTCAACATTTTTTTTTGTATTATCTACGTTGAAACGTTTGATTAATAGAAATCTTTTGTAACATTATTTTTGCGGTCAGATTTTATAGATTTTAAATGTACACGTAAATTTTTCTATATGCCAAATAACATGCATGCATATTCACGCATATAATGCAAAAAAAAAAAAGTTACATTTTAAATAAAGGTCTTTACTGTCACTTTTGACCAATTTAATGCGTCATTGCTGAATAAAAACATTATATTTATATATATATATATATATATATATATATATACAATCACCGGCCACTTTATTAGGTACCCCATGCTAGTAACGGGTTGGACCCCCTTTTGCCTTCAGAACTGCCTCAATTCTTCGTGGCATAGATTCAACAAGGTGCTGGAAGCATTCCTCAGGGAGTTTGGTCCATATTGACATGATGGCATCACACAGTTGCCGCAGATTTGTCGGCTGCACATCCATGATGCGAATCTCCCATTCCACCACATCCCAAAGATGCTCTATTGGATTAAGATCTGGTGACTGTGGAGGCCATTTGAGTACAGCGAACTCATTGTCATGTTCAAGAAACCAGTCTGAGATGATTCCAGCTTTATGACATGGCGCATTATCCTGCTGAAAGTAGCCATCAGAAGTTGGGTACATTGTGGTCATAAAGGGATGGACATGGTCAGCAACAATACTCAGATAGGCTGTGGCGTTGCAAACGATGCTCAATTGGTACCAAGGGGCCCAAAGAGTGCCAAGAAAATATTCCCCACACCATGACACCACCACCACCAGCCTGAACCGTTGATACAAGGCAGGATGGATCCATGCTTTCATGTTGTAGACGCCAAATTCTGACCCTACCATCCGAATGTCGCAGCAGAAATCGAGACTCATCAGACCAGGCAACGTTTTTCCAATCTTCTATTGTCCAATTTCGATGAGCTTGTGCAAATTGTAGCCTCAGTTTCCTGTTCTTAGCTGAAAGGAGTGGCACCCGGTGTGGTCTTCTGCTGCTGTAGCCCATCTGCCTCAAAGTTCGACGTACTGTGCGTTCAGAGATGCTCTTCTGCCCACCTTGGTTGTAACGGGTGGTTATTTGAGTCACTGTTGCCCTTCTATCAGCTCGAACCAGTCTGGCCATTCTCCTCTGACCTCTGGCATCAACAAGGCATTTCCGCCCACAGAACTGCCGCTCACTGGATGTTTTTTCTTTTTCGGACCATTCTCTGTAAACCCTAGAGATGGTTGTGCGTGAAAATCCCAGTAGATTAGCAGTTTCTGAAATACTCAGACCAGCCCTTCTGGCACCAACAATCATGCCACGTTCAAAGTCACTCAAATCACCTTTCTTCCCCATACTGATGCTCGGTTTGAACTGCAGGAGATTGTCTTGACCATGTCTACATGCCTAAATGCACTGAGTTGCCACCATGTGATTGGCTGCTTAGAAATTAAGCGTTAACGAGCAGTTGGACAGGTGTACCTAATAAAGTGGCCGGTGAGTGTATATAGGGCTGTCAAACGATTAATCGCATCCAAAATAAAAGTTTGTGTTTACACAATGTATGTGGGCGCACTGTGTATAATTATTTTGTATATATATATATATATATATAAATAAATACGCACACATATATTTAAGAAAAAAAATGATTTATATATAAAATATTTATATATAATATATATATATATATATATATATTTATATGCATCAAAATATACATGCATGTATGTGTATTTATATATATATATAATAATTATACACAGTGCACCCACATAAATTATGTAAACATAAAACTTTTATTTTGGATGCGATTAATCGTTTGACAGCCCTCACACACACACACACACACACACATATATATATATATATATATATATATATATATATATATCTTACTGACCAATTGGTTGACTGACAGTCAAATTCATACTGGACATGAGGGCCAATAAATAAGTAAAAATATATATTTTTGGGATATATATTTTTGAAACTGTTTCTTTAATTCTCACCAGTCTGTTTGTCCTTTAAGGCTGTTTTGCACATCTCGATTCGGGCAGAGTGATAAGGGACGTAACGGTCCTGAAGGGACCCCACCAACACCACGTTCTTAAAGAACTGAAGACCTGAAACAGAGTTTGAAGGATTGGATATGGAGAAATCCAAATGAACATTGGCTTCGTGAAACCACAATGACATGACACTCACCTGTTTTCTTGCTTAGCTTATAGAGGAAGGTCTGGCGTGGGTCTGAATGGTCACGGCAGGTCAGCTGCAGCAGAGAGCCAGATTTCTTCCACTTCTGCATAAACCACAACCCTGACACAGAGGAAAAATTACAGTGGTTCCTTAATAGAGTTAAACATAGAGTGGCTCATAAAATACTGTCTTCAGAAATCTGCTGAGTTTATGACCATAAGTTACCGGTATTGACGAGGGCCGAGCTGTTGTACAGCGTGCCGAGATGAGGTCCAGATAGAGACAGAAACGTGTGGAGTCTGCTAAGATAACATTTAAACCTGGGCCGCGTCAGCACAGAGCGCACGATCAGATTTCCCAGAGAGTGACCCACAAAACTGAGAAAGACAACACAGTGATTCTGTTACCCTAAGGCCAGATGCATTTTACTTCACAGTTTAAAAATATGAGCTATCTTATAATGCAAAATCATGCTCAAGTGCCAGTGTGGCCAGAATGTACATATGATGCACATTAATTCAGGACAGGGCCAGGGTAAAAAAAAAAAAAAAAAATCACGTCTTTAAAACTTGTCCCTGAGGTGAATTTTTTAGTCAAGTGTTTTGAAATAATAATTTTTAAATGTGACTTTAAATACATAATTTACATGCTAAATATGCCCTCAAAAGGTATAAAAAAGCCTTGTAAAATCAATCAATATGGCTCCTTAATAATAATTTAAAAAATGTTACACTGGATAAAGTCACTGATTTTTTTTTTTTTTTTTTTACGAAACTAGGGAAAAGGGAAAAAATCATGCTTGTAGATCTCTAAAAATACTTTTCTCATATCTGAGTTTAACTTTCTGATATATTTGCTCTTACCTTATTTTGGAAACTGTGAGGTTATAGATTTGTATGTACTGCACTATTTCATCCAAAAGTCTGTCTGTCATTGACTCAAAATCTGCAAATGTGTCATTCTTGAATAAAAAAAAACAAGAAAATCAAGGTTAAAGTTTTAAAACACATCAAATTTTAACACCGTTTCTAATGTTCAATTTCTTTTCCAAGCCAAATGAAGTTTTAAAAGCATGTCCAGTGATTGTACATATACTTTAAAATGTAATAACGTAACAACTATTAATTCTCTAAACTGCCCATCAAACCCAGTGCTTGTTTCATGGGATGTGTTACCTGATTGCGCTCTGACATTAGGAAATCTATTCGAGCACCAGGTAAACCAAGCTCCAGATAAGTCTTCACTAGACGCAGATCTGCACTGTTACCTAAAGAAAAGGTTTTTAAATCAATGTGAATCTGTTAATGTGGAGTTATTCAATTTAAAGAAACAGAAGAGTGTGACTGCTTACCATCCAGGCCATGTACACACACTATGAGGTGTATGCCCTCATCACAGTTTTCATCTTCATCCATGCTGAAATATGGCACAGTGGACGCCAGATCTGCCACATCACTGTACAGGAACCCCGGCAACTTTAGTTGCTTCAGCTCTTCTTTTGCTTGGACGAACCTAAAGGTTCACACACGGGCATTAGCTCATGCATCAGCAATCCACAGTTTCTATGTATTATGCATAAAAACTCCTTGCTTTTAATGCACCTCCAAAAATATCTTGGATTACCAGAATCCAAACTTAATGTGAAACAGCTTTTGATTTCAACAGCAGTTGATTTCTCAAATTTGCCATTATTATTGTAATTTATATTATTTCGCATTAAATTACAGCAACAATTAAAGCTGCAGCCCATAGCTTTTTGTTGGGTTAAAATGATCCAAAATACATATTTGAGAAAATACATTATCAGCCAGTGTTCAAAACTATCTGCTTGCCTTAGCTAGCTCGATTCAAAGTGGTAAGCTTGTAAAAATGTTTTTAATTCCAGTGGTACTGGTGGATTTTAGCAGGAGATTCGAGCATGTCTTTGCATCATTACGTCACATCTGTACACATAAAGAAGGAGTCTCGGCTAGTTGGCTATATTGAGTGTGAGGATGTTGGAGGTGGAGATTTATAACCTTTTCTCACAGCACTTGATATAATTAAACTAGAGCCCGACTGATAAAGGATTTGTTGGTTTTAAAATCCGATATATCGGCCGATATTTTATTATTTTATTTTTTTTATTTCAGAAACGATGATAAGAGATGATACGCGTCATTGCTATAACTGTCACACGCTATTAAAGAAATACTTCAGTCACATTGTCAAAAGTTAAAAGGACAGTCAGTCAACTACACTGTAACAACGTAACATAACTATTACTAGCTAATTCCGCTTCACTCTCGGGTTATTTAACAGCAGCAAAACTGGACATGATAGTCAGTATATTCAACGACTGTGTAGAGTGCCCTCTGGTGGACAAACTCTACAACTCCAACACTTATGACATGGTTCAAGCGAGTTTTGTCTGTTTTTATTTTATTTTTGAAATATTCATTTATTGGCCATTAATAACTGCCGATACCGATAGTTTGGAAAATGCCTAATATCGGCTGATAATATCGGCCTGCCAATATATCGGTCTGGCTCTAAATTAAACTTGTCAATTTGATGCCCGATCTAGAAAGGTTCAAACGACAATCACCAGTGACAACTGGAGACTCGCCTGTTGTAAAAAGACTTTTCAGACTTCGGAGTGGCTACAGAAAAAAAAAGAGACTGCAACCGGACCCATGCGAAAACAAGGATACATATCGGAAGGACATTACATGTAGTCACGCAATGCTGATGTTGTTAACATTAACAATTTGAGAACAAAGTATAATTTACATGGTTTTGCGTGATAAGTGATTTTTAGATTTAATCATCACGATTTACTGCAATGTCATTTGAACCAGAACAAAAGATGATGTTTCTTACTTGTTCAGATGACACTTTTCTGGCAAAAATTATTAAATTGGTCATACTTCCAAAAAGAATAATCTGTGATTCTGAATGTCAGTATCAACACCGGCGCGGCGACTGACAGCTGCACACTCTCCTCAAACATTGTGTTCATCCACGCTGAGTGGTGTCGAACTACAACTCACGTAAAGTTGTACGCGAATGACTGACTATAATTCCGCGAATGACTGCAATTCCAGATTTCGAATAGAGATGGCGACAAAGAGGAAAAAATGCGGACTGCAGCTTTAATTACCGCAAAGATTTTATAAAGGCAGTTACAAGAGGTTAGTCAGGTAGGTTACCTAAAAGAGTAGCCTAAAACAATGTCAAACATAGCTATATGGCTACTGGTCAACATTAAAATTTATACAAGACACCCAGTGTGACCTAGATTACATATGTCGGAGTTAGATCAAGTCATTGAATTTTGATGAAAGTTTAAGACCTTTTTCTACACTGGGATTCAAAAATTAGATTAATACATTTATTCAGCAAGGATGCATCAAATAAACACACGGAATGTATACGTAGGAAACCTCGTGAATTACGGCCGTTTCACCCCTTATTTACACTGCAAGCGTGAGCGCCGCATATTTTTTTACAGCTTGCATGTTAAAGGACAACTCCGGCGCAAAATGAACCTTTTGGTCTAATTACACATTGTTACCTAGTCATGATTGGCGAATGTAAAGAGTTTTATCTCTAAAAACAGTTTAGCCTATAATGCTAGTATAACACTAGTATATAGGGCATAGAGTAATGACAAATAAAAATCGCTTGTTATTACCACTAACAAGGCTCAAAATAGCCCCACACTAACACAGTAGCATAATAAGGGTACCTACATTCAAACCGAAGCATTGAGAACATTGTCAGTGTCCATACAGTTTAATAAGAAGATATTTTATACATACAGTCAACTTCGCGAATACAGAAAGAAGCCATCTTTGAAAACTAGTCTCTACCAGTCGATCTACGAACACAAATCCATGTGCGCTGGTGAGATGTGAATAAGGTAATAAGGTGAGCGCGAACAGTAGGCTACGTGTACATACTGAAGAGAAGAAATGGTTCGTGTTTGTGTTTCTTCCGGAAACAACGGACCATATGAGATTCTGCACAGTTCAGCGCACTTGGATCGGCGTTCGTAAATCGACTGGTAGAGACTATTTTTCGAAGATGGCTTCTTCCTGTGAAGGGAAAAAAGAAAACTCACGCTGTCATCTGAGCAGTAGGGGCACTCTTGTACCAGCACAGATCGTTGCTGGTTGGAGCTGGTCCAGGAGGCCGTGTCTGCAGGCCGGCTGAGGATATGTATGTTTCCTGGAGCTGTTCCAAACCCAGGTGATCATAAAAAAGGGTTTTTCCCTCTGCTCCCCCATCCTCACACCTCCCTTCCTCCCCTGGGAGTCCATTAGCATAAACCAGCCCATCTGTTTCCTCATAGTAACCGTTCTCAATCATTTCACTTTCCTGCTCCTCTTCCTCATCCTCTTCGTCATTAGCATTGGGGCAAGTCTGAATCCCCAGTGTCACAGCTGCAGTCTCCAATGGGCTGATCTCAGATATATCAGTGCTAGAGCGAGAGCCAAAGTAGTTCTCCACAAAGCCTTTCTTCACCAGGTCCGTGCTGCTAGTGACTGACGTACTGGACTGGGCGGCCGTCTGAGGCTCACTACATGCTTCTGGCCCCATACCTAAACCACTAGGAAAATCTGTCTCGGTAGATCCCGTCAGCCTGTCAGGAGCAGAAGTTTCACAGCAGGACTGGAGAGCAGAGTGCTCATCGTGTGACACAGGCCCATCTCCATGACTGATTTTTTGTTGGGCCAAAACTCTAGAGCTCGGTTGCAGGAGGCTGTGAGATTCTCCTGAAAAGATGAGACTCTGTTCCTGCACCAGGATGCTGGACTTCCTGCTAGTGTCCTCTGTCTCCACCTCATCATCCGAGGGGAGGGAGTTAATGGAGGTAAGGGAAGACTGGACTCCACTGATGCCGCTGGTGCTCTCCGGATTGAGGCCCTCCAACGCAGTGGTTGTTCTGGAGGCAGGGCTGAGCGGAGGTGGTCTCTGGTGGGTGCTCTGTGGAGTAAGCTCTGTAGGTGCCTCGAGGCCAGAAGCAGCAAAAGGAGAAGGAGAAAACGGTGCTAGCTGTGTCACAGAGCTGGGCTCACTCTCGATTCCAGAGTCTGAGAGCCTGGAGGAGGCTTGAGGAACACAATCACTCCTCAGTGCAGCTCCACAAGCTCCGACAAACGTGGGGCCATCCCCAACTCGACTCTTGAACTCAGAGAAATCGGTCTGTGTGATCTCTGGAACATCCCTCTTGGCGGTTGGATCTGAGTGGTGCGGTAAGAGAATGGTGACCTTATCACCCTGGTAGGGGTCCTTGTCGCTTGGTTTAACATCAATATGTCTGAGCCCAGCAGGTGGATGTGTCAAATCAACTCTGGCAGCTGCACTCTGTGTGGCTTCTGCTCCAGTACCTGCCTGGGGCCTTGCCTGCATTTGCAAACACAAAAGATTGGAAAAGCCGTCGCTCTGGACACTGACGTTACCTTGAATGTCGCTTGTGGTGCAGTCTTTAGCACAATGCGTGGTTGCGGTTTCATTTTGGAGGATACATTTGCCTATATCATCTAGATCGTCTTTCGGATTGCACTGAGCATCAACGTCTTTGGACTTGGTGGTCGGTTCCCCACGAGGAACCTTCAAGTTCTTGTAGCCTGTGAGGACCACAGAGTCTTTCGAGGTCTGCCTGATCAGCTTCTTTGAGTTTTCAGTCTTGGCATTCTTCTTCAGCTTGATGGATTTGGCTTTGGATTTGAGGGGAGGCTCATTTTGTTCAGGCCAAGCGGTGGCGAGGACAGTTTGCTGCTTATCTGGGCATGGACCAAGGGCTCCCAATCCACTAGCAATGCAGTCTTTTGAGTTGGACCTTTCTGCTTTCGTGGACATAGAGCCACTTCTGGTGTTGTGGAGACCAAGCCATGGACCATCACGATCTTCAGGGTAAAAACAATATAATAAGCAATTAGATGTTTGGCAGACATTTTAATCCAAAATGAGTACAGTACATTTAATTAATTTGAGATTAAGGACATAATGCTGATAATTCCTGAAATGCCCCATGAAGGTTCTGAAACTTTAAGCCTTTCATTACCAAACATATCTTTAACCACTATGTCACACCCAATGTATTCTAAAGACATCATAAACTAAAATACAATCTCATCTTTTTACCCTTCGTTTATACCCTTTAGTTCAGGGGTCTATTCCTACTCATGGAGGGACAAGGTCCTGCAGAATTTAGCTACAACCCCAATTAAACACAGCTAACCAAGGTATTTAGAATTACTAGAAACATCTAGCCAGGTAGATTGTTTAGCAAAATTATACTTGAAAGCTTGTATAACTGAGGCATTTCAAAACTGTTTATCAATGGTGGTGATACAAAACGTAAGCAAGACACATGTGGTATTAATAACTCAGGTGAAGCACCTTTCTCACTGCAGAAAGCATTTATTGTACAATAACTGTAAAGATGAGATGCAAGATGAATCATTAATAATTTCAATACATTTACCCAGAACAAATGTTTAAATTAAAATCCACAAAACTCCAACATTATTTTCAAAATGTGCTTTTTCCCTAAAAGTAAAATCAATTGCATTGTGTTTTTTTTTTCCTAATGAGCTGATGGCTAAATTTTTAGATTATCTGGCAAAGATTATCATGTAATTAATCAAGGAGTGCCATTAAACATACCTTCAGTAATGGATTCCAAATATCTGTCCTCAAAGATGATTGGTAGGGAGTTCACATCCCCATCCAGATCAGCACATTCAACAGGAAGAGGTGGTAAAGACAGGAAGTAGGACGAGTTCTTAATAGCTGTGGTCATCTGTTGGTGACTGTGAGCACTGTTGAATAAAGAAGTTCATTTGAATTATCATGTACTCTTCATGCTAAATAACTACATTACAGTAATGATATTTTAAGACATACTGCAGTTCCTGGTAGGCCAGCGCACTTTGTCTTGGGTGTTCAAGACAAAAGAAAGCTTCTGCAAATCTTTGCACCTAAAAAATTAAACATTCAAGATAAGTAAAGCCAAAAATATACTCTGCACAGACACTTCTTACAATGGAACAACAATTTCATGAATCTTTGTGTCAATAAATGTGTCAGAATAGAATGCAAATGCAATGCATAAATATGCAAGTATGCAAATATAATATGCATACGGTAGAAGTAATCTCGGAGCTCACCCGTAGTGTGTGGTGCTCCTGGGCCAACAGTGCAGAGACGCGCTCATTCAGTGACACCACTTCCAGGAAATTCCCCCACAATGCCATAAGCAGAGAGCACAGCTGCGCCAAGTTCATGTTCACCAGTTCAGCCAACTCATCTGGGCTCTCTGCCCTCTGCTGCAAGAATCCATACACAAATATATATAAAAAAAGCAGTTCAGTAAACCATGATCATGAGGCACCAATCAAGCCAAGCAACAACTAAAGCAAAGGGATTTATGATTGACCTTAACATATATGGTACAAGTAGAGATGCACCGATATGAAAGTTTTGGCCAATACAATAATTATTCATATTTGAAAGACAATAACTGATATATTGGCTGATAAATATTTATATAATGTTAACAAAAATAACGACTTTTTTTCCCATGCACCGATATGAAAGTTTTGGCCAATACAATAATTATTTATATTTGAAAGACAATAACTGATATATTGGCTGATATATATTTATATAATGTTAACAAAAATAATGACTTTTTTTTTCCAACTAATCGTTTCCTTCTCTTTGGGCCTCTAGTCAGTTAACGTAGTCGTAGACTCACTGTTGGCCAACGCTGGTCATGTGTGTGATGCGTGTGACGTACAACAGAAGCTTACGCTATTATACTAGTGAACTGACTCGAGGCCCACAGAGAAGGAAATTAATAGTTGAAATAATGTCGTTATTTTTGTTGTTTTTTGCGCACAAAGAGTATTCTCGTTGCTTGATAAATTTAAGATTGAGCCACTGAAATCACTTGGACTATTTTAACGACATCTTTAATAACTTTGAGGCCGGCAAGTTTCAATCCCAGAAGGAGCCTATGGACTGGTATGGAGGACTGATCCAGCTCTCAGATTTCATCAAAAATATCTTAATTTGTGTTCCAAAGATGAACGAAGGTCTTACAAGGTTGGGACAACATGAGAGTAAATGCTGACAGAATTTTAAAGTAGCCTTTATAACTTGCGCTTCACATGTTGTGCTTAACTGTATTTTACTTTTTTGAAGGGACTCCAATCATATTTCAAGCAACTCAAAACCATCATGGTGCACAGTGCACATCTGAAGTATCTCAGCTGAAGGAAATAAATTATTAATATATCAGCCAAATTTTCTTATGGGGCTGATAACGATATCATTAAAAAGGATCAGATATAGCCCGATATATTGTGCATCCCCTAGGTACGAGTAATTTTATATTACAGTAATGGTATATCTCACATTTATTTTAGCTGGCAATTCAACAAAAAATATTTATGCATTAAAAGTTGTAATGCCTATTTTTACTGATCCAGTAGATTATATACACTTGAAAAATTATGGATGCAAACCAAAAATACATGATTATTCACAATAAGTTCATGATAAGACTAGTAGAATCAGTAAAACACAAACTTTATATTGTAATTAATTTATATAAAACAGTGGTAACCAGGGGGTCCGGGCCCCACTAGGGGGCCTAGGTATTTTTGACAACTCCATGTTTCTTTGCATATAAATTATGTAAATCATAATGAAAATAATAATAATAAATAAAAATTATATATATATATATATATATATATATATTCACTTGATAATCACGACATACCTTGACTTGTTCACAAAGCTCATTAAGTCGGACCTCCACATCAAGTTTTTCTAAAAAAAAGAAAAAAGAAAGAAAAGACAGCCAAGTGAAAATGTTGTTTCTACAGCAGCAGGATGGAGTGAATGAGAGACAAGGGTCTGTCTGAAGAGCCTGTGATTGGCAGCACATGAGAGGGAGCTAGAGGAACAACAGCACAGGAAGTAGTAGGAGTCAGAGGACAGAGAATACCAGCAATGTTCAAGGATTTAGACTGATCCAAAGTCAGCCTGAGATCTGAGATACTGCTAAAGGAAAAAAGAACTAAGCTGAGCTAAGAACTCCCTCACTGAAGGACACTTGTCAATGAAAAATGTCCAAATTAGGGTTGGGGGAACAGAAGAAAGAAAGAGCTAAAAAAGAGACACAAATGAAAGGCAAGAGGCGTGTGGAGCTGAGGTTCGGTTTTGGAGGGACATACCTATGTAGACGTGCCTTTGGTCTCGAGGATAAGGTCTTCTGAGAACTCGTTCATAAAGGACCTGCATGCTGGGCTTGGCTAGTGGTGGGATTGCACATATAGGCACGTTTAAAACTTTCACTCTCCCCTTTTGCTGTTTGAGCTTAAAATGAACCCTTAAATACATGCAAGTTCAGTCACTAGATAGATTCGGTCAGGAGCAGCCAAGGGTGAGTAGTTTAGCATTGAGTGAGTGAGTGAGTGAGAGAGTGAGTGAGTGAGAGTTTAGAGTGAAAGTTCTGAAAGGATTTATATTACAAACATAAAAACGGGAGGTAAAAGGATCTGCTTGCTGATACATTCATAAGAAAGAGGACAGAGGCACAATTGAGGGACAAAGGCTTATTAGAAACACTAACAATATGCTGTTAACAGCAGCTCTTTCTTAGTCTCTAAGAAGTGAGTGGATGCACTAGTATAAGTGAGTGAGTATTCAGTGATGGGCTCTGATGAGATTTAAAATAAAAATTAATATGTGAAGGAAAATAATACAATGCATATACAACAAAAACATAAAATATATAGACAGTAGGGGTAGACAATAAGCAACAAAATATATATAAATATAATCACATATAATTAACCCTCATGTGGTGTTCGGGTCAATTTGACCCGGAGAAGATTTTCTTTTTCCTGAAAATACTAGTTAATGTTATCGCTTTGGACTGAAACTTAGTGACTTTGTTCCCAAGCGGTATAACTATATCTCATTTGTTTTTTGAACATTTTCGTATTTTTTTGTGGGAGTTCTGTTACCTTGTTACACTTGTGGTGTTCCCGGTCAAAAATGACCGGTCTATACAAAATAGCTTATAAATCACTCATTATACCATATTTTCACCCAATCTTGGATTCAATCTTTTTGTCAACTTGTTCTCTTTCAATTAGGACTGGTTTTATATTTCTGTTTGCATCTGATTAATCGTGGGCCTCATTTATCCGAGAGTAGGCATCTCATTTTTTGAGTAAAAAATAAATAATTTATGAATAAATTTGGAAATATGATTTTTTTTTTTTTGAAAAAAATGGTTACTGTTCATCACTCTAGTCTACTCTAATGATTTACCAGGAATTTTGTTTTGAAACTTTTGTTTTGTAAAAAATATGGAACATAGTCACACTTGTGGTGTTCCCGGTCAAAAATGACCGGCCTATAAAAAATAGCTTATAAATCACTCATTATACCATATTTTCACCCAATCTTGGATTCAATCTTTTTGTCAACTTGTTCTCTTTCAATTAGGACTGGTTTTACATTTCTGTTTGCATCTGATTAATCGTGGGCCTCATTTATTTGAGAGTAGGCATGGTAAAAAATGGTCACAATGGGCGACAATTGAAAGTGAATGGGAGAGACTGAAAATAACAGAAGAATTTAGTTTTCAGGAGCATGTTCATTATTTTCATGTACACATATGAGCATGTGTGCTTGCAAACATCGAGCCCTTGGACCTGTGCATGTATCGATACATTTACACGCTACCCAGACACACACACACACACGTTAAAACACACAAACTTTGAGTATTACACACATTCTTTTCCACAGAGAGAAATTTGATTCTACCCTAACCTGCATCTAATATACATTTATCCATCTGACATTACCACACACACACACACACACACACACACACTAACTGGCCGTGACTGCAGTGATCCGGCTTCAAAATAATCTTTCTTTCATGTTCTTGTTTCATCACAGCTTCCAGAAAAAATATTATGACATTTTGTTTTGGAACTGTGAGGTTCTCACCATAGACAGTGGTTCTCACACAGAACTAGACAATATTTACAAATATACATCATGTGATAGCACAGGCATATATAAATGCCTCACAGCACCTTGCTTGTCATTCATTTGTGGCAGCACAATGGCAAAGCAGCTCTCTGCACATGATATTATTCATCAGATTTTTGACTCAGAAAATAGTGGGGAGGATCATTTCTCTCTGGAAAAGAATGTGTGTAATACTCAAAAAAGCTTGTGTGTTTTAATGTGTGTGTGTGTGTGTCTGGGTAGCGTGTAAATGTATCGATACATGCACAGGTCCAAGGGCTCGATGTTTGCAAGCACACATGCTCATATGTGTACATGAAAATAATGAACATGCTCCTGAAAACTAAATTGTTCTGTTATTTTCAGTCTCTCCCATTCACTTTCAATGGTCGCCCATTGTGACCATTTTTTACCATGCCTACTCTCAAATAAATGAGGCCCACGATTAATCAGATGCAAACAGAAATGTAAAACCAGTCCTAATTGAAAGAGAACAAGTTGACAAAAAGATTGAATCCAAGATTGGGTGAAAATATGGTATAATGAGTGATTTATAAGCTATTTTTTATAGGCCGGTCATTTTTGACCGGGAACACCACAAGTGTGACTATGTTCCATATTTTTTACAAAACAAAAGTTTCAAAACAAAATTCCTGGTAAAACATTAGAGTAGACTAGTGTGATGAACAGTAGCCATTTTTTTCAATTTTTTTTTTCATATTTCCAAATTTACTTATAAATTATTTATTTTTTACTCAAAAAATGAGATGCCTACTCTCAGACAAACGAGGCCCACGATTAATCAGATGCAAACATAAATGTAAAACCAGTCCTAATTGAAAGAGAACAAGTTGACAAAAAGATTGAATCCAAGATTGGGTGAAAATATGGTATAATGAGTGATTTATAAGCTATTTTGTATAGACCGGTCATTTTTGACCGGGAACACCACAAGTGTGACTATGTTCCATATTTTTTACAAAACAAAAGTTTCAAAACAAAATTCCTGGTGAAACATTAAAGTAGACTAGTGTGATGAATAGTAGCCATTTTTTTCAAAAAAAAAAATTCATATTTCCAAATTTACTCATAAATTATTTTTTTTTTTACTCAAAAAATGAGATGCCTACTCTCAGACAAACGAGGCTCACGATTAATCAGATGCAAACAGAAATATAAAACCAGTCCTAATTGAAAGAGAACAAGTTGACAAAAAGATTGAATCCAAGATTGGGTGAAAATATGGTATAATGAGTGATTTATAAGTTATTTTTTATGGGCCGGTCATTTTTGACCGGGAACACCACAAGTGTTATAGGGTTTTGAACACCACATGAGGGTTAAACAAAATCAAACTGTAGCATATAAAAGGTATAATAAATATAAATCACATATAATTAAACAAAATTGAATATAATCACAATATACAAATATTATGGAGCAATGATTCAAAAACTTAGTCAACAAGCTTCTCTGAAGGTACATCCAAGGCTTCCATGGAGAAAATGATATTTGATGCTAGATTTTATTTTTTTTCCCCCCAAGTTCATTCAAATAATGTACAAATTTACCAGACAAATTTCTTTTGCTGTTCCATTCCAAAGTTCAGCAATATAATATTTTTCAATGCTCACCAAGGCTGCATTTATTTGATCAAAAATAAAGTAAAAACAACAATATTGTGAAATATTATTAAAATTATATATTTTTTCTATAATAATATATTTTTTAAATTTAATTTATTCCTGTGATTATAGAAGCTTGTTTCCACAATGGAAAAAAAAAAAAAACAATTTAAAAGATAATTTCACCTTTTTTCCTAGTAATTCTCTCTTTTCCCCAAGTTTATATCTTGTGACTTCTTTTTTCAGAACTCTGAGATATAAACTCGCAATTGTGAGTTATAATGTCCAAGACTGACTTTTTTCTCAGCAATTCTGAATGTTTAACTTGCAACTGCGAGTTTATATAACCCAAAATTGTGAGATAAAAAGTTTTTTAATTTTTTTAAACCGTTACGGAAACAAGCTTCCATCCTGATACCAAAGCTGAATTTTCAGCATTATTACTCCAGTCTTCAGTCACGTGATCCTTCAGAAATCATTCTAAATATGCTGCTTTCCTGCTCAAGAAAAATTACTTATTATCATTGTTGAAATTTATTATCATACATCAATAAACATATTATTTGTTTATTACTTATTGTCATTGTTTTTGTCTTTAATGTCACTTTTAATCAATTTAATGCATCCTAGCTGAATAAAGTGAATACAATTTTTAATCCCCAATTTTTTGGACCGCAGTGTATATTGCAGTGTTTAAAGTTTGGTTAAAATAACACCCTTCTGAAATATTGAAGCAAAACATGTCAATTATTTACCAAAATGCCTTACACATTAGTCAATTATTGAAGTTCAGTGTCATTTTATATATATTTATATAATTTCAGTCTTCTTGGAAACAAGAATTTTATTCTTTCAGTACTGATGGGACTACATACCTAGCTCCAATCGCTGGGATGCGGGCAGATTCTTGGCCAGGGAGGTTAAATAACAGAACAGGCCCTGATACGCCTGCAGCAAGCTGGCACACATGTTCTGGTGCAGGCTGAAGGCATGCTGTAGGCACTGATCCGATACCAGAAAGGTTTTGCCCTGCAAATCATAAAAGAGAGCTTTATGCATCAATGAACGTTGAAGAAGAAGCATTAAGAGTTTTTGCACTGTGCTCAAAGAAAGTTCCCCTTAGAGATTCAATCCATTTCATTTGAGATGGGGGAATAAAGTTTTAGTGAACTCTAAATCTCACTATAGTCCAACAGGCACCTTAATGGCAGCTTAATGTGACTAGAGTCTCAAGAGATTTGTTGTAATATAAAAATCACATCATCTCATTAACTGCGAAGTAACAGCTCAAGCGTTTTAGTTACATAATGATATCTATTTATGGACAGCCTTATAGCTCTCACCGATGTCCTGAGAAACGTCTGTTCTTTGCTTTTGAAATGCAATGTCAGCAGTGTTTTTGGGTGCTTTCACACGTGCCTCATTTAGTTAGGTTGAATCGCACTAGCGTTTGTTTCTCCCCCTAGGTGTGGATCAGTGTGGTGTGAAAAGGAAGCAAAACGGCAGAAAAATGCTACAATTGGGGCTTTCGCACGGGATAGTTTTAGTAACTCAGTTCTAGGAACTAACCACCAGGGGCAGGTTTCACAAAGCTATTTTAGACCGGTCTATAGTGTTAGACAAGTCTAAAATTTGCTCATATAGTAGTCTAATGCAAGTTAGATGGTTTCTCAAAAATAAAGACTGACTTAATTCAGACCAAAAAAACTAGACACCTTACCCCAGGCTAACTTAGGTCTAAGACTAACTATGTTACCTTGGCATGGCAACCAGCAGTAACAATCAGTTACATTACAAACAGCCAAAAGCAAAGGGAAAATGGACTTTTCCAAACTAAAAATGTCTTCTTGTTACTACATTGTCCGCTAAATTTCCTAAGTAAAATGTCCTTGTAACTGCTATACTCCTTCAACAAACACATATTTTTCGCTGGGATAAACGGGATGGAGGTGCAGTAGATAAGACGCATGCCTTTGGTGCGAGAGACCCAGGTTCGAATCCACTGGGAGAGACCAATGTGTCCCTGAGCAAGACACTTAACCCCTAGTTGCTCCAGAGCCGTGCGACCTCTGACATATATAGCAATTGTAAGTCGTTTTGGATAAAAGCATCAGCTAAATTAATAAATGTAAATGACACTGAGCGGTTGAATGCGCTTACTCAATCCACCATGTTTTTTGATTTGAAAAGTGTCTTATTTTACCCAGAAAACATTGCAGTGTAGTCCTACTTAAGATAGTCAGAGTCTTAAGCGCTTTGTGCAATGGTCTGATTTAGATGTCTATCTGAAGTCTGACTATCTGCTATATCTAAGCAATTGTCAAAGTCTATCTTTGTGAAACCGGCTCCAGGGTGGTTCTCCAAGAACTAATGGTTCCCATAGGAATCTTTTTGCGTTCACACCGCCAGTAGGAACTCTGAGGTGATGTAAGCCGCGCTTGTTGTTGTGACTTATTTTGACAATGGGTGGACTTTATTTTGAGACACCAGAGTCTGAGCAAACACACAGTGGTCGCATTCTCCGTGTTCATTAAGTTACGATCTGACCAACAGTCCTATCTAATACGTTATTGAATAGAAATATTAATGTACATAAAAGTAGACAATATATAAAAAGTTATAAGCTTATGCCATGTTGATATCCAGTGTTGCTAGCTGAGCAGAAATACATAATCATGTTTCGCTTGGTTTCCTCAAAACTGCGTTGGATTTTCTCCTTAGTGTAAAGGTCGAGAGGACCATCTATCACTGTTTTCCATGTTTGTAGAGTTAGTTTCTGAAGTAAATATACAGGCTATAATAATGCGTTTAAATGTTTGTTTGTTTTTTAATGGCGGGTTCTGGTGTTTATCCACGGATAGTCACGGATAGTTCTGGTTTAGAGTAGACCCTACTCTGATTAGTTCCTTTAAAAGAGTTCCTAGAACTAAAATCGGTACTAGTTCATGCGGTGCGAACACGCCGACATCCGGGTACTTCCGTCAATAGTTCTAGGTTCTTCCGGTGTGAAAACCACTAATATTTAATTCTTTGCCCTTGGCCTGGACCAAATGAACCCGAAACTACAGATGTGAGAGCACCCTTTGACTAATTGTATTAAAATGACACTGCACTAATTTGGCTAAAAAAAAAAAAAAAAAAAAAAAGGTTGATTCAGGTGAGTGAGGATATTTGTGTGTGCGAGTGTGTGTGTGTGTGTGTGTGTCTTACATCTGGTGACAGCTGCTTGACGTAGGTGGTGCCGAACACCACAGATTCCAGTGGTGGGATGAGAGAGTCTTTGCTCTGTGCCGGAGCGTTACGATTCAGCCAGGTGCTTTTAACTGGTCGTGGGAAACTGAGGGGACAATCAAATTCAACACACACATTTCAAAATAAAAGGCACAATATTCAAAACGTGCACCTTTTAAAGGTATGTTTTGTCAATGAAAAGATGTTTTGCTTAAATAAATGAAAAATACTTCTGACAAATACGCTCAAGTTCAAAAGCGTGGGTCGGAAAGATGTTTTAATGTTTTGAGAAGAAGTCTCTTCTGCTCACCAAGGCTGTATTTATTTGATCAAAAACACATCAAAAACAGTAACATTGTGAAACATTATTACAAATTAAAATATTTTATTAAAACATTTTTTTTCACTTTAATGTAATGTATTCCTGATGGAAAAGCAGAATTTGTGTTTTTTTTTTTTTTTTTTCATTTTTAAGACTTCTGTGTCAGATGATCCTTCAGAAATCATTCTAATATGCTAATTTGGTGCTCAAAAATATTTTATTATTATTATCAACGTCAAAAACAGCTGTGCTGCTTAATATTTTTGTCAAAACTGATTTTGTCAAAACAAATTTTTCCAGGATTCTTTAATGAATAAAAAGTAATTTTACTTAGACATATTGTATATACAATTTTACTGTCAGTTTTAGTCAATTTAATTTGTCCTTGCTGAATAAAAATATTATTTAAAAATAAACAATAAAAACATAAATATATATTACTGAATCCAGACTTTTGCATGGTAGTGTATGTTTTAAATTATTGGCCAGTGTGACAAAGTTAATTTAGCATTTTTTCTATGTGTATAAAGCATAGATGTTTGTTTGTCCTGGAAAACACAGAAGTCTTGGAAGATCACAACCTACTGTCTACACTTACACATATTCATAATGACTACTGTGTTAGGTGCAGTTTTCCACTGCTGACCTGATTAGAGGTTGATGCAGGGCCACTAGTGATGCGTGGATAGTGGCAGAGATGACAGACAGGTGGAAGTAGTCAAACATGACGTTGACGTGCTGGTGGATGCCTCTGTGGAGGCTAAAGTGCAAACGCAGCGTCCGACTGCTGATGCTCTGGAGAGAACTAGGGTCCTCAGGCCTAAACACAGACAAAAACAAACACGTTTATATGTGAAACAATTGTCTAACCCTAAATATAGGCAACTGTAAAATCGGGAAAAAAGCGTTCAGTTATTCATCTACATACGAGTAGTCGCCATCGGTGAAAAACAAGTCCAAAGACAGCTGAAAGTCCATTTCATTTAAGGACTCTTCCACCTGCAGGGGAAAATATACCATCACCACTATCACTAGTGATGCATACACAGGTAGATTTTATCACAGAACTCATAGTGTGACTGTTGTTTGAGTCATTAGAGTCGCTCACCTTCTTTGCATCTAGCAGCATCATCACTTTGAATACGAGGACATCATTGACTACTATCTCCTCATTTTTGTAAAGGATCTGAAAGGTTTTGCTGCAGCCCAAATCATCTTGAACTGTTGCTGGGAAAGCCAGATCTGAACCTGAGAGAAAACACACATTAGAAGGGCCTTACAAAGCTCAGATAGATGTGCTACTCGATGAAATTAAACCTATAAAAAAAAAAGAAATCCCAAACAATCTATTGACTTTACAGAAATAAGCTGCTATATTTTTACAGTTTTTAATTGTTCCGTCATCTGAAACTCTTGTTTTCTGCTTTATTTGTGTACATGCAAATATGGAGTGACAAAGTGAACCAAAACAAGTTTGACATCAATGGTGCCAACATCAAAAACATACATACTGCCCTGATACTTCTACGATGAGAGGATGTGGATGGACAGATAATGATGCTTCTCATCACATTTCACCACAGGGTGAAAGACATTACACACTCCAACAGACACAGAGCATGTGCAAGAAAAGATTCTTTCAACCCACTGTGTCAATCTCTGTGGGCTCTGAGCTAAATGTTGATGTAAAATTAAAGGGGTCATGAACTGCATTATTTTATTATGTTGGGGTGCACTTTTATGTTATGTTAGTATGATTTTTACATCAGAAAGAGCCATAATTTAGAAATAAAAGGCATTTTTCCTACCCAGATTTTAGCCTCCGATTTGAACTCTGTTCGAAAAGCCGTGTCTGCTGTGAGACTTCAGTGTAAACGCCCCTGCTGTGATTGGCTGACATATTTGCGTATGAAATAAGTATTAAATGTGGAACTCTGTCAAAAACTTTTAGCACTTTTTACTATTACAGCTCTCAAGGTTAACTAATCGTGAAGTGTTGACTATAGCATTATATTTAGATTGTGGTCTGAAAGGTTGCAGTGATGAGCATTGTAGCCGATCACAGATATATTGAGTGAATGAATGCAGTGATCTCATCATTGCAACTCAATTTCTGCATAACGATTTTTTTTCATCATAACTAACACAGTGTAAATAAGAGAATCATTGATTATGTAACCAAAGGCTAATAATAAAATGGACTTTGTTAAAACAGGAGTTTTGGTGAGAGTCCAGAACTCAGTCACTAATAAACTCGAGATGTTTGATTGACAGCTCCAGTGATTGTAAAGGGAGTGTTCTCTGATCGCTTTCTATATATGAAGAGTTCAGATGCAAAAGCCTAAGTGCCATTTGAAATTTCCTTCTAGAATGATCATTTTTATCATGCTTGTATATTTAAGTTCAGTGATTTCACTTAAATGGCAATGATAATTACCTATTAATTGTTATTTAAGTGAAATTACTTAACTTAAATATACAAGTTTGATAAAAATCATCATTAGAAACGAAGAAAATTTCAAATGGCATTTAGAGGCTTTTGCATCTGAACTCTTCATATATATAATTTAATGACAGTTTAAAAAAACAGATTATTTTAATCCAACTAAGAGAAACAATGTGAAGTTGACCGTTTAGTCACTAGTTTGATTTACTTACACATAGACAAAGAACATCTGACAGTATATGAATCATTATATATCAGAAATCACTGATCACAGATCAGGCATTAGAATTAACACTTACACGTTGTCGCATTACAGTCAGGTCCATATAGTAAAAGTCAGTTTGCAAAGTCTGTGCCGAAATTGAGACTGGTTTGATGTACCGAATACAATACATAATGCTCAACTGAGACATAATGCTCATATTGTTGGGGAAAAAAAAAAAAAAAAAACACATTCCAAGCATTAATATCCTTTGGAAGGTAATGCTATTTTTAGTCCAGTCGGTGATCCTGTATCGCTCTTCTCTCCTCGTCATCTCTTTAACATGCCGGTAAGCAAGGGCCAAAATTGCAATGATGAAGTAGGAGTTGATTTTCTTCTGCAGAGACAGTCTTTTCACCTACAAGCACATTCCACAGCGAGTCGTTCTCTGGGCTCAGTTTCAATAAAAGCTGTTTTTGGACTAATAAAGGAAGTTTTAGGAACTTACAAGATATTTTTACAGCATGATATTCATTTCTCAGTTCATGACCCCTTTAAAGAGTAACTAAACCCAAAACCAACTTTTTTTAGTTAATGATCTTTAAGAATGGATCTTTATTAATACCAGTCATTGATTCGAGTAACTTTTTTGACATTTGTGTATAAAGTGTTCTATTTCTACAATATATGGTGTAAAAATGTCTTAGTGCTGCCCTCTTACGGTTGAACGGTGGCTACTGCAGTTGAATTTTCCTATTGGATGTTCCGCACTTCGTGACATACGCAGGTTTCAGCTCACCACGCGAGCTACGCCCTTGGCAGTATAAAAACCATCTTGTGTCATCAAAAGCATTGTAGGGAGTCAGGAATTGGAATTGCGAGTATTGAAAATGATCAAGATAGAGTGCATTTCATCTTATTTTTGTCCGTGTTAATCTTAAGGTTACGATTTCCAAACTTTAATTGTACTTAGGGAAATGACTGTTAAGGGGTTTTATGCAACACTTAACACTTTTTAAGGGATTACTTAAGTGAAAAAACAGCATTTAAGGGAAAATCTAAGCGTTTATGTTTCACTTAAAGAAACCCTTAAGTAACAGATAAGGTTTTTTTCCTGCAACACCCTTAGGTTTAAGGGAACCATAAGGGTGAGCTTAAGAAAAAATTACACTTAAGGTGCTTTATGCAACCGTACACAGACCCCTTAAAGAGAGCCGAAGGCTACAGCTTTAAGAACTATGTTAGAAAGGGAAGGTTAGATGTTTAACCCTCATAAGTGAAGATAAGCTGCATTCCTATGCAAAACACCACCTTGAAGAAATCCCTGGAGGTATTGAAGCATTTCGGTAGCAAATTTCAAATTGAAATGTAATAAGCGAAATGGCAATGCAATATGTAAAATGGCAAAGCATTTCCATATTTCAATTCATATTTTCCCTCCCATGTGTAACGTTTGGGGCAAAATTATCACTTAAATTCAATAATATAATTTCCATTTGCCGTTTCCTACTCTAGTACTCTGTAATTTAAACATATCGCTTTATAGTCGCAAAATTCAAATGAAAAGAATAACTAAATTACGGATTAGATATGTTTAACAAGTTACAAAATACAGTCTCTATAGGCCTATCTACTGGGAAAACAGGATGAGGTCTCAGGGATCAATCAATCAAACATAAAATAAAACTTAAATTACATTATAAAACAGGAACCAACAACATTTTATGAAGGTTAAACACAGACTTCCATTAGTTAAAAAATATAACGTGGCATCTCACTTGATTATCTACCATCAACCATACCACCATACCACCATCCATTGCACTGAATGAGTCATGTTTATTTGAGGTGTATGAGGTTTTTTTGTTTTTTTGTTTTTACCAATAGGATGCAGCAGACTGGCCTCCACCCTCTGCGGGATCCGTGGCGGCACCTTCACACCAGCTCGGATCTGATAGAACCTGTCAATCCAGAAAAAAAAACAAAAAAAAAAAACAGGTTTCATTAAGTATTCGAGAAAAGCAAACAAAATCAAAATACTGATTGAAACAACGATATACCATATACAGTTTATACACAACCAGAGACGTTCAGAAAGCTTAGGTAAGGAAAGGACATTTTTTGAAGAAAATAATACATTTATTCAGCAAGGATGCATTATTGGATCAAAACTAAAGTGACAGTAGACATTTATAATGTTACAACTAGGGGTGTGCAAAAAAAAAATCGATTCACATTTGAATTGCGATTCAATCTTTACCGATTCAGAATCGATTTATAGAATTCCAAAAATCGATTCATATATAGGCCTATAGGCTATATTTTTTAATGGCGTGCAGGGGCGGAGTGGCAATCGGGTGAGTCGGGACTTTTACCGGTGGTCAGGTAGTGTTTCTATGGTTTCGAGGGCCGGTCTGATAAATAGTTATTGCAAGTTCTTGCCACCCGCTGGTCAAACTGTGCAGCCACTCTGCTCAACCCGTAAATAAATGCATCGATCCGCAGATCTTATGTTTGAGTTCTGTAGATCTTTTGCCAAGCGTGTCAGATGTTACGGGTTCTAAACCGCACTCGTATAGTTTTTTTCTCTCTCTCATCAAAACCGAATATGTTCATCACGTTTGTGTGCATTTTATTTTGTGATTTCACCGGAGTCTCCACAACGGCGATAGATTGAAGCGTGCGTCCGAGAGAAAACTGCGCGAGCCACAGAGAACACTGTATCCATGACACTGATCGCAGCGGACACGAGCGCTCAGCTTGACTTCAAAAACAACAGGTCTCTTATTTAATAGCGAACTAAATGAATGCTCTGCTAGTTAACTGGAGATACCCGCAAATTACGCACCTATGAACGACTTCACTGGATCTAAACAAATCAATCTAACCATAGATGTTACCAGTAGCGGTGGCTTTTTTAAATCTATTTATTTTCGCAAGGGTTCTATGAAATTAGTATATATTTTTAGGAAGTTCAATGTGCCCAGTCGAGTTCACATTTCAACAGTCAACCTGGTAGCTGAAGTAGGCCTACTCCTTAAACCACATTTAGCATAATTGTTTGTTTGATCTGACTACAGCACTTTAACGCTAAATGTAAAAGCTTTTTATTTAAGTTTTATTTTAAACTTGAATTAAATGTATTTAAAAGCTGGCCAAAGCTTGGCACTTCGCACTTTTTAGTTGCAAAAGTTTTTATTTTTGTATGAAGACATATAAAGTAATATCAAACTTTTCTTTTAAATTATGTCTACTGCAATCAATCACATAGGAAAAATTAAACTACATTTATATAGACCTGCGAATCGTTTTTTGAATCGAGAATCGTTTTTGAATCGAAAATCGATTTTGAATCGAATCTCGAGACAAAAAAAATCGGTATCGAATCGTGACATTTTCTGAATCGTGCACCCCTACAGCGTTTCTTTTAGGCTTCATTCATACACATTTTTACCAATACATTTCCATTACTTTTCCATGACTTTTGAGGCAAATATTCATGATCTACTGGTCCAAGAAAGTGTCATTAAAAAAAATCCATGCTCAAATTTATCATAGCATATCTTAACAAAAAACACTGACTATTAATGCTATTTGTTTGTACAAGCTGTGACTGAGCAAAGAACAGCACGTCACATGACTGAATGACCAAATGGCAAGTATTTGTTTAAACAAAATTATCAAACATAGATTCTATTATACAGAAATTTGTGAAACAAATTGCCGTGATTTTTCCTAGAATTTGCTAATTGATTTTTTTTTTCTAGGTTATGACGGTACAAACCCTCTTTTTTGTACTTTCTATTCATTCAAGAATCTTGAAAACAATGTATCATGGTTTCCATAAAAGTTTTCAACATTAATGATGATAATAAGAAAAGTTTCAACTCAAGAGCACAAACTCAGCATATTAGAGTGATTTCTGAAGGATCATGACATGTGACACTGAAGACTGTTTTATTGCCATCACAGAAATTAATTATATTGTAAAAGATATTCAAATACAAAATCAGTGCTTTTAAATTGTAATAACATTTCACAATAATACATGAAAAATGCAGTTTAAACAGCATTAATACAAAAAAGACTTTTCAATTATCAATTAAATCAGGATTACACATTTTTATTTAAATGTTTAATTTAGGTTCCAGTGCAACAGTATTTTTAACTGAGAAAGTGCACACATTGTTTTCCATTTTGAGGCAAATCAAGGTTTCGGACATTACCCTCCTTTGTTGATTTTGGCCTTTTGTTGATCTAATCAGTCTGATGGGATTAGCATCTCAAGGTTTTGAGTTTCACTGTTACCTGACGAACTCAAGTAACCAGCTGAATCATTTAAATTTGCTTTGTTTCAGAGTCCCTCCTTTATGTAATACCACCCTTTTTGAAATGTATAAACTAGAATGTAAAATTCTCTTAGTCATTCTTGAGATGACTACAGCGACGCAATAAAGAACTTCTGTGTGAAAGATACCTCAATGTCTCCTGGTCTGTTGCTTCTCTACAAATATAGAAGAAAAATATCTCAAAGTCTTCTGGTGTTGCTTCTCTACTTTGGAAGAAAACTTCACTACAGGAAGAAGCCTCTGTGGCCGTCAAAGAGAAGAATCATGCTCTCTCAGTTCCTCATTTCTACTCAGAGTTCGACTGAATAAACCAGATGAGAGAGCTTTAGCACGTGTCTGTATATCTATGCAGCTCTGTTGATATCCTGTGCCCTATCCTCCCATGCATTTGAAATGAAAGAGGAAGCTCAGGCAACCAAAATAGAGCTGCAATTATCCTGACGAGTATATCATGACATCAAAAGCAGGGGGAGATAGGAGGTAAGAATACAACGGGCTGGCCGGAACACAGATCAGGGAACAGGAACAAACAACTAGTAACCTTTACAGGAGCTGAAGAGTAGAATGAGGGTTGCGTTAAGCTTCCTGTCGCACAGCTGAGCAAACCCAATGGCTCTCTGTTTTAGTTAGACCCGTGGCGACAATGTCAGCAGATGTGGAATGTTAGCCTGAGGCTGACACCAAACAACCCTATTAGCACTGCCGATAACACAGGGTTTCTTCCTTTTCATTTGAAAAGAGTCCCTTTAGATGTTTACACTGCGACATAAAAAGAGTGCAGTTACGACAAGTGTTGGGGAAAGTCGCTTTTTAAAAGGAATGCATTACAATACTGTGTTGCTCCCTAAAAATTTTTACTAAGTATTACTTACTTTTTATGGAAAGTAATGAATTATGTTACTTTTGCGTTACTTTTTCTCATCTGGGCTGGGTATGCTTGTTTGTGTTTTAATCATTTATTTTTAGCGAATGTAAAGGTCCTTTCACACAAAAAGTGAAATGAATAAGACTGAAGGAAATTCATCTGTAGTGTAATTTCTCTTAATATGGGGACAGGATAGGTGTCGGTTCATAAATGGGAGAATAAAGTAACTTGTGTTACTTATTTGAAAAAGTAAGTGAAATTTAAATTTAAATGTAATTTGTTCCTTTAATTACTAGTCATTTGAAAAAAAAGTAATCTATTATGTAACCTGTGTTACTTGTAAGTAATCTATTATGTTAATGCCTTACCCGACACTGCTTCCAACAATTCAACAACATATTTTTTCTTTGGATATCTAGCAAAAATAACTTTATATGCCATACCTATCATCATACTCATACCTTGCACCCCTAGATATATCTACCAGTTTTGAAATGTGGGCCGCACTTGTAACTTAACCCTTACCTGTTCTAAATAAAACTATGGCTTTTCTTAAAACACAATGAGCCCTAGAGATTACATTAAATTTGGATCTTGTGCATTGAAATACTCACGTATTGAAATACATACAAATGATATATGTACTGAATTTGGGTAATTTCAGGTTTTTGAGTCAAGTCACCTTTATTTATAAAGTGCTGTATACAAATAGATTCAAAGCAGCTTTACAGTGTCAACCCCACTTATTATGCACTTGAAAATGCATTTCGGCTGTCGTTCAGCAGAAGGCAGTTCAGTGTTGATTCAGTTCTGTTGTAAAGATCATCAATTATTAAATAAGTTGATTTCATCTATAAAGCAGTTCTGCAAAAAACAACGTCATAGTCCAGCTCTCCTCAGTTCTCAGTCAGATCAATAATATTTTTTTTAAATATTGTTGAAATAGACTACATCGAAACTTGTGCAAACTGCAGTTAACCTCAACTGTATTCTGAGATTATCTGCTAATTAAAATTTCATCCTCACATTAAATATGTAAAGGCATTCAGATTGTCTATATCCATGATCTACATTATTCATTAGTGGGGTTTGGGCATCATGTCTCTTCAGAAGACTTGGACTAATCAGCTCTTTCTTTAAGAATCTTTTTATGAAAAGTCTTGAAATAGACTTTTAATGGAGGGACAGAAATTGGAGGGACAGAAAACTCTGATGAAGATATTTTCAATGAAATCTGACAGCTTTATGTCCCTCTATTGACAGCTACGCAACTACCGGTTTGATGCTTCAAAAAGTTGAACGTGTGTTTTTTTTTTTTTTTTTCAAAAAGTGATGTCACACATTTTTTAGGTGTGATTTTTCACATACAGCAAACATCTCCTCACTATCTGCTAGCTGCCTGTACCCTGAAAAACACAGTCTCTGTAGACACCTCAGGCTCGACTAACGGCTACAAAAACAAACTGGGCCAAACCACACTATGAAACATAAACTGTTCCAGCCAATCACAGATCATAAAACTAATTCATATGATTTGAGTGCTTTTAAAGGGATAGTTCACCTTGAAATTAATTTTTGATTTGTTTTAGCTTACCTCAAGGACATCCAAGATTTAGGTGTCTTTATTTCCACAGTATTTTCAATTTTGACATTTTTCGGTCAAACCGTTGTTGTCTGTCAGTCCCATAATGCAGTTTTAGGGGGTCCACCTCAAAGAGCATGTACAGAGAAGTCAAAAATAAACTTG